CCCCCTGGGGACAGATGACTACCCCTGGAGGGCAGAGTGAGGGGTCCATGCTCCTGGCTCTTGGGACTTGGATGGGACCATGTGGCCCCAGTTGGGCAGGGCAGAGGTGGGGGTCTCATGGAAGTGCAGGGAGGGTCCTCCCCTCCTCCTTTCAAGGGAGGGTCCCCCCGCTTTCAGCCCTCATATGTTCTGCTCAGGGCATGTGGGGTTGTGTGTCCACCCTCAGGCCAGGAGCCAGGCTGGCCGAGGCTGGGTCTGGGGACTTCCAGGGCTGGGTGGGGTGGGCCGCCATGCTAGGTGTGTGAGGGGTGCAGGCACCCTGTCTTGGGAAGCTTGGGGTACCTAGGAGGCAGAGGCTTCAGCAGACCAGGGCTGCCAGCCATCGGGAGTCCCAGTGTTGCAATCACTCTCATCAGGTGTTCTGGAGGAGAATGCAGTTTGGACAACCAGCTCCCAGGTGGGAGAGGATATTTCATCTGAATGGAAGGAAGTTTGAACTAGGAGTCCTGTTGCTAAGTAAACGTGGGCAGTTTGATTCACTCTCTTCTCATCCTGCCCTCATCTGCCGGAGAGTTTCAGATGCAGGCCACTTTCTACTGCCATGTTCTGTCCCCCTCCCTGTCCCCTGCATCCCTCTGTGTGGCCCTGGACCTGTTCAGTGTGAGGAAAGGAGCCATTGCCCTGACCCTGCAGCCCAGCTGCTGGGGCCTGGAGTCAGCCCTCCTGTTGTAGGTGACCCCACACCACTTCTCCTGTGCTGCTGTCCTTGTCCTGTGGAAAGGGTGACCCATGTGTGGCAGGGCAGTGTTATCAGCAATGTGTGCTGGTGTTGTGAGCTGTGGCTCCCTGTGTCTGGGATTAGTGGGTTCCTTGGTGACCAGGTGACACCCCTGCCCACCGCACTGCTTCCTGGTGGGAAGAGTATCATTCTGTCTCAGCTTCTTGTAGGCTGAGGAGGAGTTTTCCACTCTGAAATGTGGGGACAGAAGGGCAGCGATGAGCTTGCTGGCCGTCAGGAGCACTGGGCTCACATGCATCAGGTCCTGGGCACCGCTCTGTGGCACTGCCACTGGGCCTGGGTCCTCTTGTCTGAGCCCATCTCCTCATCTGTCCACCTGAGGTGATGGAGTCACACAAGCAGACAGGTGCTGTGTCCTGTGTCTGTCAGTCTGTCTTGGTTACTTTCTCATTGCCGAAAGAATACCTGACACCACCAGTTAAAAGGAGAAAAGGTTTGCTTAGCTTAAGGTTTTTAATGGTCTCAGTTCATAGTTAACTGGGCAGGTGGCAGGAGAACAGGGCCGCATGGACGAGAGACTGTGGCAGGGCAGGCAGCAGCGGCAGCCATGAGAGCAGGCCTCTTTCTGTGCCTTAGGTTCCATTCAGGCTACCCATCTCAGGGTGAGTGCCCCTCAGTCCCAGCATCACACACCCTAGATCCAGCCACCTCTAAAAAATCCCCACCTATGACCATCTCAGGCTTTGGGGGGACATCTAGATATAACCCCATAAAAGCATCCATTCATCCATCCATCCATCCATCCATCCATCCATCCATCCATCCATCCATCTGTCCGTCCATCCCATTTATCCTTCTGTCCACTACTTCACTCACCATTCATGGGCCCAACCATGACCTAGAGCTTGGTGGTGTCCATATTCTCCCTCACACCATCTAGTTGTGTCCTGTCCTCCTGGTAGGACCCTGTCTCTCCAGAACACCAATTCACTGGGCTACCCTGATGAACCTGCCCCAGGGTCCCACTGCCCTTTTCTGGCAGAGACCTGGGGCTGCCCCTGCCCTGCACCCTGGGCTCTGCTGTGTTCTGGCAAGAAGGGTGTTCTACTCCTGAAGGACAGGGCCCTTGACACAGCCAGGGAGTGCAGTGCCCTTAAGCTGGAGTCAGGAGCTGGTGACACTCCCCGAGGTTGTATGTATTGGGGAAAGTGGCCCAGAGATGGGAGGAAGCAGGGTGACTTTCCAGTAGAATGGAGAGACAGTGCCAGAGAGCAGGAAGTCCAGCCCTGACAGACCCCTGAGGCTTGGGTCCACATACCTGGCTCCCAAAATGGGTTTGAAAACACTAAGTGATGACTAAGAAGCCAAGAACTCTGTCCGTGCAGGCCCGATTTTGCCCAGACAGGTACAGGGCAGAGAATTCCTCCCTAACTCCCTGCCTCCCTCCTTTAATACTGGGGCTTGAAATCAACTACCTGCTACCACGGAGCTGTGTCTCCAGCCCCTTTGACCTTTTACTTAGAGACAGGGTCTCACTGTGCTGTCCACACTGGGCGCCAGCTTGCCTCAGCCTCCCCCCGCTGACCCCCCTGACCAAAGCTCCTCTCCTACCTTGGTACTGTCGTCCATGTCTCCTTTGCCTCCAGCAGGCCAGGCAAGGTGCTCCATGCCACTGCCCAGCCATGCCCTCTGCCAGCCCTCCAGCTCCTGCTGTCTGTGGGAGAGGGGGCATAGGACATGGCTCCCCACTGCAGTCACAGGTGTGCCCAGATCTTCTTCCCTTCCTGGGGGCAGAGAGCCGGCCCTCCCTGGCCGAGGCCTTGCCTGGCATGTGCATGTGTGCCTGCTCTCTGTCCATCTCTCGGAAGCTGCAGTCTCCTCTCTGCCACTCATTTGTCTGCTCTTTGGTGCCTGCTCCTGGTCCCGTCTGGGGCCCCTAGTGGGGCTCAGATCCTATAATGTTGGTTACTAAGCGCCTTCTGTGTGCAGATTTGCCCGTTACTCATTTTCTGAGACAAAGCAGGGCTTGAAGAGGGGAGCAGGCTAAACCCCAGGCCATACCGTGGCCAGAGGCAGCAGAGCTGGTGAATAGCAGGCCTGTGTCCCTGTAGAACAAGGTTCCCTCGCCCTGACAGCCCCCCGTTGCAGCTCTGAGCTGGCAGTAGCACCTGGGTGGCATGGCCCATCTGTCCCACTGTGGCCAGAGCCCCCACGTCAAGGTCTGCAAGGACAGTGGCCTTGAGAACAGACTTGGCGTGCACGCGTAGCCCTGGCCATGAGCCTCGGCACTTTGGGCCTTGCCAGGGTCAGGGGCACAGCGTGAAGCCACCACAAGGCCGCCAGGCTGTGGGTTGGCGCATCACCCTCTTCCTGGGAGGAGCAGAGCTGTCGCTGGATACAGAGCCCACAAAGGGTCTTGGAAGCCTGTGCCTCTGCCCAGGAAGCGCAGAATCTTGGCTTAAATCACATAGAAAATGTCACCTTTCAGATGGCGGCTCAGGGGAGGGTTTCACAGAGACTTGGGGCCTGTCCTTGACTGTCACAGTGAGGTGACCTGTGCATTGTGTCACTGCTGGGCGGTGGGGTGGACTCCAGGCCCAGATTGCGTGGCCCCGGGCCGAGTCCTGGTTGGCGTTGCCGTGACACTGTTTCCAGCACGCTTGGGTTCTTCTGCTGAACCTTTTCCCCTCCTGTGATCCTGGTACAGGGGAGAAGTGGCTGGAAACTGCTCAGGGTGGCCCTGATTTTCTTCATTGGGATCGAGGAGTCAGAGATGTAGTGTGCAGGGTTCTCAGGGGCACAGGACAGACTTGAGAGAGGAGGCACTGTGTCCGTCAGTCACGCAGATACTGTCGCTGGGGTATGAGTATCGTCAGCTGATTGGGGGCCAACAGATGCCCTGCCTGGGGTCACTTGGGACATTGCCGAGCTGGCCTGTTCATCATCGTGGTCTCTGCAGATGAGGTTGTGATACCTGCTTCTTATTGTCCCTAGCAGCCCTCTCCATTGTCTGTACATCAGAGGGAGCTGTGGAGAGGAGGTGGCAGTGAGGCCGCCAGCTCTGGGCGTGGGTGCCTCACCGGGAGCCAGGTGCAGGCTCAGCTGGGTGCTAGCATAGGCCAGGGCTCAGCCCCTCTCGGGGCTGGGTGACCTGTGCCGTGTTCTGCAGCCATTCATCAGTGGGTGGGGACTTGGGGTGCCTTGTCTCTGGGTCTTTATGAATAACACAGCTATAAATGTATTTACACGAGTATTTGAGACCCTACCTTCACGTTTAAAGGGTGAGGTGAGTTGAGTGAATTGTTTGTGTATTTGTTTCTGCTCCTAGGATTGGTGTTGCTGGGTTATGTAGTAATTCTCTGTAACATACTAGAAAACCAAGTACTGCTTTTTAAAAATAACGCCCTGACTGAGGGGCGATGGAGAAGGAGGCAGCCCACTGTACCGCTGAGTCCTGACACTTTTAGGTGGCTACATTCATGGGCCACATCTTCTAACCACGGGAGCTCCAGCACCTGGCAGGGGTTGGATGATGGATGAGTGGATGGACGAGAGTGGGTGGATGGATGAATAGATGGGTGAGTATTGGATAGATGGATGGATGGATGGGTGGGTGGAGGGATGGATGGATGAACAGATGATTATGTGAGTGGTAGTGGATAGATGGGTGAATAGATACATGGATAGCTGGATGAGTAGTGGGTGGATGAATGGGTGGATGGATGAATGTATGAGTGGATGGCGGATGTGTGGATGAATAGATGAGCAGCTGGATGAGTGTTGGGTGGGTGGAGGGATGGATGGATGGTTGAATGTGTGGATTGATGGGTGGATGGTGGATGGGTGGATGAGTAAATGAATAGCTGGACAGGTATCAGATGGATGGATGGGTGGGTAGAGGGATGGATGGATGAACAGATGAATATATGGGTGGGTGGGTGCATGGATGGATGGGTGAATGAGTGGATGGTTGGATGGATGGGTGCGTGGATAGAAGGATAAATGAGTGGATGGATGATTACATGGGTGGGTAGTTTGGACAGGTGAATAGATACATGGATAGTTGGATGGGTATTGGATGGATGGATGGATGGGTGGAAGGATGGGTGGATGGGTGGATGAGCAGATGGGATAAACTTTGGTCATGACAGTGTGCTCCTCTTGAGGTTGGGCCTGAACTGCTGTCTGCCCCAAAGGTGGCCTCACACGCCCCGTGTCAGCACCTTGTGCTGTTTGTTCACGAGCTTTTGTCCTTTTCCAGGGTGACATCCAGCAGTTGCTTTTCGTCTCAGACCACCGGGCAGCTTACGATTACTGTGAGCACTACAGTCCCGACTGTGACACTGCGGTCCCCGACACGCCCCAGTCTCAGGACCCCAACCCAGATGAATACGTGAGTCAGCTCTAGCCAGGTTCAGGGTGGGCAGCGTGGCCAGACTCCCTGGGGCAGGGGTCAGCAGGGAAGGATGCTTGTGGGAGAACAGCCGGGGTGGGGGGACCTATTTTCTGCGAATCCACAGGACGAGGTAGTGAACAGATTCTAGAGAGAAATTACGGTTTCTGCCTTGGTTTACCAAACAGTGCCCCCTGGGTATTAGAGTTGCCCAGAGCCACCATGGTGCCCCCAGGACTCAGCTGCTGGCCAGATGTCTGAGCTCGCAGATGGGTGGCACCTGGGACCAGCCACTGTAGCTTCTCTTCTGATGCTGAGTATCCTGCCTCTCTGCCCTGGCCCCTGTCTGCGGGCCCCAGCAGGACCTCATGTACTGGATCAGTCCCCCACTCTCAGGGTCCCAAAGTGGGCCCCACCCCATCCAACTGGACTGTTGGTTCTTTGAGTCCTACTGCAGCCTGCTCTGTTCCCTCTGTTTTCTCACCGGTCAGAGAGCAGCTGCTCGGGCTTCATGGCCCTGGCTGTACCCCATGAGCCACCTGAGTCCCAGGACGGTGGCTGCATGGAGCTCCTTGCTGGCCAGGACAAGCCTCAGTTCTTGAGAAAACACATTTCCATGCTGAGAAGGGGCCTTTGGGGTTTGAGTGGAAGGTCAGGGCCTTGCCCAGGTCACAGCCATGGCCATGGCTGCCTTGTCCTGCTCTGGGCTCTAATGGGTTCAGAAGCTGCCACCCTTTAGGGCCTGGCTTTCTCTGGCTTCTGCTCCAGAGCCTGAGGTCCCTGCCCAACCCAGCTTCCCAGGGCGCTGCTGAGGGAACAGTGAGACCCGGGACCCCCATGGCAGCTCAGGCTGTGTTAGGTAGGCAGACCTTGGCACCCTCTGTCCGTGGCCAGGTCTGGCGGGTGTGGGCTTGGCAGGCTGGGGTCTTCTCCACGTACCTACCCCACCTCACAGGCTGCATTTGCTTTCAGTACCCAGACGGAGAGGGTGATGGTGACACCTATTACTACGAGTACCCTTACTACGAGGACCCTGATGACCTGGGGAAGGAGTCTGCCCCAACCAGCAAGCCCGTGGAGGCCTCGAGAGAAACCACGGAGATTCCTGAGGTCTGGTGGAGGCTGGGCTGGGGCAGGGAGTGTGTGGGGGGCCTCATGTCCCTGGGGCCAGGAACAGGGCAGGGCAAGACTGAGGAGGCTGTGCCCAGCTGAGGCCCAGGCATAGTGGGTGGGTGGGGGCGACGTGAGACAAGTGTGGCTGGGCCCTAGTTCCCCTCTGCGTCCACCTGCTGCGTGGCCTTGCACAGGTGCCAAGGCCAGCCCGAGTCTCCTTGTCTGGGTCACAGTGCCGTCGGAGGCTCACTGAGGGTCCCCTCTCTGCATGGCCATCTCACCTGGACACAGCAGGGTGGAGGATGCAAAGGCCTCAATGAGATCCTGGGAGACCTGTGCTTAGCAGCCTTGGAGTGACCAGGTCCAGCCCCGCACATGTGAACACACGTGAAGGAGTGTGTGCAGGGCTGTCCAGGGTGGTACCACCTGGTCCCTGTTGCTCTGATGGTCCAGTTGTTCTGCTGTGTGACTTCTGTGATGTGGCTTGGGGTCTCCCAGGTGGCACCTGCTGGATCTTAGCCTGTGCTAGGAGTCTGTAACCCAGGCCTCCTCCCAGAGGACCAGGGACCCTGTACCCTGAGTCCACAGGACTCTGCTGGACTCCTAGCCGGGCTATGCTGCCCACTCCGTTTTCAGGGGCCCCCCTCCCATGCTGGAGCACGGGGCCTGGGTCTGGGCACCCTGACTCTGCTTCTCTATCTACCCTTGGCTTCCAGGACCCAATCCTGCCTTCCACGGCCGCCCCAACGGCCCCCAATTTGGCACCTGAGACTAGTGATCGGGAAGGCGGGGTGGAGGACCCCGGCATTGGAGACTACGAGTACGTGCCCATTGATGACTACTACACGGCCGCCCCATACGAGGATATCAACTATGGCGAGGGCTTAGAGAACCCTGAGCAGCCCACTGACCCCAACGCTGGGGCCGAAGTCCCCACCAGCACCACGGGTGCCTCCAACGTCTCCAACGTAATTCCCTTCCTTTCCTTTGTCTTGGTTTAGGGGCCAGGCTGAGGCAGGCTGTGGCCGGGGCCCTGGATTTCCTCCTGGCTCTGCCTCTCACCTTGGGTGGCCCCTGCACCCCAGCTCTGGGTCCTTTGTGGGGTGCGGGAGAGCTGTGTGTGTGGCGCCCCCCACAGATGCTGCAGTGGGGTATGCTGTGGGGGCCCTCCCTGAGTGGATTTCAAGGTAGCCAGGTTGTCACCTGCAAGTGGGCAGAACAACCTGGTCCTGGAGGCCCCTCAGGATCATGCGGGGTCAGACCAGGAGGCTCCTGCTTATGGGGTGCCTATCTATGCTGGGGAGCAGGATCCAGAGCAAGGTGGCTAAGGGGGAGACCGAGCAGCACTAGCTGTGAACCAGACTGGAATCCCTGGAGCTCAGGGTCCTGTGGGCTGGGCAGTACCTGTGATACTGCCTCTTGGGTGCCACAGTTTTCAGCCAAGGCAGGAGTGTCACCAGCATGTGGCTCAGGGAAAATGCTCGTCAGAGCCATGCATAGTGCCCATCCTTGCCCTCTGGGATGTGTGGTCCAGTCAGTCACATCCCTGGTCCTGAGACCTTGGGCCCCAGGCTGATCCCGCCTGAGACTGACCTCCCCAGAGCGGGCACAGCAGTGAGGGGCCATTTCCCAGCCCTGCTGGCTTGGTATTGTGCTTTGGGGGAGCCCTGGGAGGACAGGGAGGAGGTGTCGAGGGACTTCTGGCCACTGCAGGGCCCTTGCTTGGGCTGGACGTATCTCGTGGGTGAGACACCGCTGCCCTTGTCCTGGGTGACACTGCTACTCCCTCCCTCCTGTGCCCCTGCAGCCAGCTCCGTCCCCTGAGCAAGGGAAGGATGACCTGGAGGGTGAGTTCACAGAGGAAACCATCAAGAACGTAGAAGACAACTACTATGACCCTTACTTCGATCCTGACTCTGACCCCAACAACTCCCCGTCAGAGATTGGGCCCGGCATGCCTGCGAACCAGGACACCATCTATGAAGGGGTGAGAGGCCGGGCTCTGACCCGGGCAGGCTGGCAGGGCAGGGCGGGCATGCAGTGTCCCCACGGCTGCAGTCTCTGAAGGGCTCTCAGATGCCGAGGACGTGACCTCTGCAGGGACTGCCTGAGGCTCTGCGCCCTCTGGCCTCAGTCTCCCCTCCTGCTCCTGGGCTTTGTGTAATGACGACTTTCTTTTCCCTTTTCTCCCCTGTTCTCTCTGCCCTGCATCGCCTCACCTCAGATTGGAGGACCCCGGGGTGAGAAGGGTCAGAAGGGGGAGCCAGCCATCATCGAGCCGGTAAGGACACTTCCTGGCCGAGTCTCTGTGTGGGTCCTTGTGTTAGCCACTGGGCATGTGTGGCAGGTCAGGGATGGAGGCTGTGACTAGATCTGTGGGCCATGCTGGGAGCTGTGGCCTCATGGCAGGGCCCCAGGAATAGGGCATGGCTTGGCTGAGCTGCGTATATCAAATCTCGGCCGTGGGGTCCTAGGACTCTGGGAGTGAGGAGGGTGTGGAGAGGACTAGGGTGAGCCCCCCCTCCTCTGGAGCACAGGGCATAGAAAGTGGAGGTCAGTCCTCATGCCTCTGGGGCATCTTCTTGTCTTCGCCCATCTGGAGGCAGTCAGGGAGGGATCCAGGTCCCCACCCCTGCCCAGCATTTGCCTTCTGCCAAGCTCTCAGGTCCCCTGGAGCATCCACCTGGTCTTTGGCCAGGACCCCTGGAGAGATTGAGTGGCCAGCTGGAATCTCAGCTGTAGTGTTGCCAGATGTCCTCAGAGTTGTAGTCGCACAGAACAGATGGTCTGGTCCTGGGAGCCTGCTCCAGGCATGCCCAGCCCGGTGTGTGTCAGAGGGCGGCTAATGTCCCCTCTCCCTCGGTTCTCTCTTGGGATGCGTGGTCCTCTGCAACCTCTGTTCTCAGAGCCACGGACGTGGGACAGGATTCCTGTCTCACTCTCGTTCCCAGCCCCTCGGACTTGTTAGCAAGACTGGATATGCCTTAAAAGGGAGAGGATCTGCTTAGTGGAAAGGTGTCTGATTGACCCAGCGGGCCCTCATTAAGGGTGTCTTCTCCAGGGTTTTTACCTCATAAGAGTTGATTTGAGTTCAGCAAAGTCTGGGATCTTTCATTGCCTCGATGTTTTTGAGTCGCGTATCTTTGAATCGTGATGAGCTAATGTGATTTGATGGTCTTACTTGGACGTGCCCGCCAGGGAGTGATTATCACAGTCAAGCAGATTAACAATTCCACCTCCCGTGCTTTTTTCCCTCTTTGCTGTTGCATGTTTGTGTGAGATGCCAGGATCTAAAGTGCGCTCACTGATGCCCAGTGCCCTGAGCAGCTAAAGTGGAGCTTTTCCTGGGGCTCATCCTGCTGGACCTGGGGACAGGGTGGGTGGGGTGCAGCCCAGGGCTGCAGGGTGTGGGGCCTCCTGTAACGGGCTTGCCTACCCCTACGTTCCCGCCTCCTTTCCACGATGACCTGGAATGGTCTGGGCTCGGCCTCTGGTGAGGTTCTGGCTGGCATTGCCCCAGCTCCCCAGAACTCCGTGTGTGTGTCCGGGAAGCAGCTGTGGTCCCCCGAGCTCTGCCGTGGTCAGTGCTGTCTTGGTTAATCCTCGCTCAGCTGCTCGGCCAGGCAGGAAACGGGAAGCTGGGATTATGGGCCCTGGACCAATGCTCCAGTGCCTCTGTGCTCCGCACGCATAGCTCTTTGTCGGGGCACACATCTGTGTAAACACAGTGAGCCTCTCTCCAGTACTGAGGAGCCTCAAGGGCTGGGGAGGAAGCTGTGGGGGTTCCCACTGGTCACCCGTGTGCCCCCTCCCAGGCTGGGGAAGTCCTTTCTCTGTTCAGAAGCAAGCCAGGTTTCCTGGAGGCCTTGTACCCTCAAAGTGTGCCCAGAGCGTCAGTGTTCCCTTGGGAGCCATGATTCCTCTGTCTCCTCTTTTCCTGTGGTCTGGGGCATGGGGCTTGGGGACCTGTGGTCTCAGAGTTTTCTATCTTGCAGGGCATGCTCATCGAGGGGCCACCTGGCCCGGAAGGACCCGCTGTGAGTGTCAGGGTGTATGTTTTGTGTCTTGGGGGAGGGGCTGTGGGGGCCATTCCTGAACCCCCTGGTGGGAAGGGACAAGGGCCACTAGGGCCCAGTGTGTACCCTGCATGCCTCTCCCCAACACTGTTGTGCTGTGCTGTGGCCACCCCTGTAATCCTGTCTTGATTTTCTTTTTAATTCCAGGGTCTTCCAGGACCTCCAGGAACTACAGGTCCCACTGGCCAAGTGGGCGACCCCGGAGAGAGGGTAAGAGGGTGACTTTCCTGGGGCTGTCCCCTGGGGCTGCCCACGGGTCCTCTGTGCATTGCGTGCCCCCTGGTGGCGCCTTGGAGCACTGCAGACCCTCAGTTCTGCTCCCCTGTTTTCCTTTCCTTTCCTTTTTGGTGTTTTCTGCTGGTTAATGAACATTGCGTAGTGGAGGATTAAGAGCACATGGCTGGGCTGTAGAAGAGGGGGACATGTGGGGACAGGTGTTTGTCCTCAGTGTCTGGGACCTTGTGAGTATTTGCGTGGCCGGCTAAGTCTGCCCACTTGGGAGAGTGATCTGAGATTCCCCGCTCACAGAATGTTCTCATGGCCGGGGCTTGGGTCCTGGGCAGTGAGGTCTCCTTCTAGGGACAGACACAGCAGGAAGTGGCATCTTGGCAGCTTCTGAGGATTCACTCAGCTTCTCCAGGCCACCCTGATTCCGCTGCCATGGTCCACACCCAGCCCAGGGCCAGCAGGATGTCACATTAGGGTCTGTACTCACGCAGCGCCCTCTGCAGCTCACATTCCCACATTTCCATGCAGGACAAGAAAGCGGCCAACTTCCCTCCCAGAGCACCGTGACTGTGACACTCTTAGTTTCTTTTCTTATTGCTGGGACAGGCTGCTCAGCACCCACAAGTTAAAGGAGGACAGGTTTTTAGTTGACGCTTTGTAGGACTGTCAGCCCACAGTGGGCCGGTTCCGAGGCAAGGCCCGTGGCAGAGGGTGGCAGAGGAGAAACAGCCCTGGCGGAGCAGGCAGGGGGCAGCAAGGCTTCCTTCCGTTTTTACTCCGTCCAGGCTACAATCCTGTTGGTTGGTGCCACCACACCTGGGGCGGGTCTCCCTCTCCATTGAATTTATGCTGCACACCTAGAACCTTGCTACACTAATCAGGGGACTATCCCGTGTCCCACACCCATGATCCAGCCCCTCCCTAAACCCCACCTACAAGCACATGAGTCTGCCCGGGACACCTAGACAGAAATCTGAGAGCCCGTACGCCTTAGAGAGTGGGCTGTGTGACCTCAGGAAACATGTCTCCTTTAAGTGTGGGGTAGGGTGATAGCAGTGAGTGTCACTTGTCAACCTCAGTGTTGTTCCGCCTGTTTGTCACACAGCCTGGTATTCCCTAAGGGCCCTCTTGGGTGCCAGTGGGGCCTTGCAGGCCTATCTGGCTGTAAGCGCCCCTTTCCATTCACTCCCTGCTTTTGAGCAGAGTTGGGCAGCCTGGCCTGGTGCTGTGTGGGGGACCCAGTCTGTGACAGTGGGGTGGTGGGGATTTCAGCTCAGGTGCCCGGAGCATGGGAACAGGGCTTAGGTGGGTAGAGAAGCCTGTGCCTCCAGAGCCTGTGGTGCTTGGAGCTGGAGGAGCCCTGCACAGAGCTTCCCCCAGGGGCTTTCTGGGTGGGGGTCATGGATCCCTGAGCTGAGCATGAACTGAGCATGGATCCCTGGGCTGCACTCCAGTGGGCCTGTGTTCACAGCTCCGCACTCTCTCAGGACCTTGCTGGATCATGAGGAACCTAAACTACTTTGTGTGTGTGTGTGTGTCAGGGGGGTCAGAATCCCTGTGCTGTGACACAGAAAGTTTCCTCTAGCCCTAAGCTTCGGTGTCTGGGACCTACAAGTTCAGAGGACAAAAGGCAGATTCACAGGAATGAAGCCACGAGCTGTGCTCAGTTCTACTCCAGAAGTGAAAACACAAAGAAGAGACCGGGCCCAGGAGCTCGGGCACCCCTGCCACACGGGCAGGGCAGAGTGGAGATGCAACTAGACAAAGGACAGGGCGACTGGGAAATACAGGGGGACACCAGTAGTAAGGTAGGACCAGGGCCCAGGCTGGTCTTGGTGCTCACCGCTGCTGTCCCGTCCAGCATGGGGAAGGGTCAGTGCCACCATCTAACGGGAGGTCTGTGCTGTGCTCTAAGGCAGCGGGAGGGCAGCGATGGCAGAAATAGCCACAGGCCACAGCGGCAGGTGTGGAGAGGTGCAGGGTCCCACCTCCCCACCTGGTCTCTCTAGTCTGGCTGCACAGGAGGCTCCTGTAGTCTGCCCGCTGCCCCAGTCCTCCCAGCCTGGAGTTTCCCGCCCGCATACCCCCAGAGCCTCTGATAATGGATTCTTGCCTTCTGCCGTGGCTTGCTGGGCCCTTTTCTTCCTCAGTGGGTTCTCCCAGACAGGCCTGCATGTGTGCCTTTCCTCGCATCCCTGTCCTTGCACCGGGTGGGCACCTTGAGCAGCTGTGACCAGTAGCTGACAGCAGTGACTGGTGTCACACTGGGCATGTGCGCCGACTCCTGACCCATGCAACATAGCCCCGGCCCCGAGTGTCCTTCCCGCCCTCCGTGATTGCTGTGGGTTGAGATGGAACTGGCCGCTGGCCACTGCCCTCCACCTTCCCATTTGGCCGATGGGCGGTGCTGCACAGGGGTGTGGTGTAGCTGGAGCTGGGGTGAGCCCAGGTCTCCTGGTGTGTAGCCTGAGAGGCCCCCCCGCACTGATGCTGCGGCTCAAAAGTAAAAGCACAGGCAACCCCTGAACCCCCAGGGCTGGCGGCAGTCCTCTGCCCCACACCTCTCCCTTCAGGCTGGTTCTTGCACCCCTCGGCAGAGTTCTTCACGGATTCCTGCTTTTGGGGTACCCTGGGTGTTGCCTGTGGACTAACAAGGCTGGCATTATTGAGACTGCATGGCTGCTGATCAGGTGCCCGGGGCCAACCTTCCCAACGAGTGGACAGTGGTGGTGGCTGTCCTCTAGGGCATGGGGCAACTTCCCCTGCCCTGAGTGCAGGTGGGGCCTTCCCTGGGTTTTTTGTGGGGGGCTGCTGGGTGATGAGACCCATACCTACTGCCTAGAAAGCAGGACAGGCTCTGCAGTGCTCCCCCAGTGTGTGGCACAGAGCTGGTGCCCAAGAAGGTTTGTGACAGAGAAAGCCGAGGGGTGGTGGGTGGTCGTGGACCCCCTTGCCCCTCAGGCCTCTTCGAAGTCATGGGTCTTGGCGTTTGTGGGTTTCCCGGCAGCCCTGGGAGTGTCGTCTGGTGCTGTTGTGGTAGCAATTGTTTTTCAGGATTTTCCTGAAAGTCAGCAGTGAAAGGGATATTTTTACATTTTCTTTTAACTAAAAGCCTCCTGGGACCTCTGAGGACACTGCTCAGGTTTTCTGTCTGCTGTACCCTCCCTTCTTATTAAAGCACTGGATGTTTCGTTGGGTCTGAGGATGATGGGGAAGCAGCCCCCCTGGAAACCTTGCAGCTGCATGCAGGCTCCTCAGAGAAGCTTCATGACCAGAGCAGAGGCGGGGTGCTCCACTTCTGTGCCTTGCACAGGGAACCTCCCTCCCTCCCAGGGCAGATGCATTTAATGTCCCCAAGGGGGCAACAGCTGTCCAGGAGTCCATTAAGGCCATGTTTGACCCCGCCTCCCATCTTTACTTGTCCAGGACAGGGCTCCCTTTGGGGTCCTCGGAACGTTTTCTGGGCCTTGAAAGGGTTTGTAATCTGTGCCCTTAGGAAGGCAGCTGGTACTTCCCACCTACCAGGTGTGGTGCTGTTCCTAGCACCAGCCTCCGGCAGGATCCGGGCCATCAGCTCCCCTGGCCTGCTGGATTTACACCCGGGGCCAGGAGACAAACTCGGACTAGGTCCCTGCACTGTCACAGGGCGGAGTGCCTGACAAGCATGTGGCTGCCACCCAGTTCACAGGACTTGTTTCTGGGAGAGGCCGCGGTGTGAGGCTTGTGTTACATCTCCACTTGGAGGTGGGGTGGGGGAGGGCACTACACCGCGTTTAGGCTCAGGTGTGTGCAAAATGTCATAGAGTGTGCCAGAGACTGGTAGGAAAGTTCACAGGCACACACACACACACACACACACACACACTTTCATACATACATGCACGAACACTCACACAACCTATGTTCACACGGACACGTCCAGGTGCACACACATGTGCACACACCTCACATATGCATACGCTCTCACGTACAAATGCCTGTGCACACGCACCTGTGCTCATCGGTATGCAGTACACATACATACATAAACACACTTAAGCATGTGCATACACAACCACCACACAGGTGTGCACACATGGGCCAGGTGCATTGCAGCGTGTTGCCCTGCAGTGAGGACGGCTGCAGGACTCACCCCCCCACTGTCCCAACATCTCCTGGCCATTTCCTGTCAAACGCATCATCACAACTTTGTCCCCTGTGGCCACTGGTAGGCTCCTGGTCCAGTGTGGCAGGCCCTTTTAGGAGGCCAGTGGGACGTGGGCTTCCCACCATGGGTGGAGCAGGGGATGGGCCTCCGGAGTGTGTAGACGTGGTATAGAGAAGAAAATCAGGCAGCTCCCGGGGAGGGCCGGGAGCGAGGGCTCCTGCAGAGGTTTGTAAGGGGTCAGTTGGCAAAAGCCCCAAGTCGGGGTGTGGGAACACTCGTGCTGCCAGACCCCATTGTGTGGCCTTGGGGTGCTCCTGCAGATAAGGGAGGGAAGTGAATAGCACCCCCTGGTGGGCTCCTCGTTCCCACTCGCCATCCAGGCTGCAGCTGCTTCTCGGTGGGTCTCCGAGACTGTGGGGCGTGGAGGAGAGGAAGTGTCCCACCCCACTCTGGAGGGAAAGTGCTGGCGTGCGCTAAGCTTGGACTCCTCCCCCATGGCTTGGGAAGAGCAGGGCAGCAGAGCGCTGGCAGTGGGGCCTCTGGAAATGGACAGCAGTGGACAAGGGCACTCAGAGCCGTGTGTGTGGACAGGAGAGCGTATACGCACATCTGCACACATGCATGTGCTACACACAAGCACGTGTGTGCACACAGCACAGTCACACAGTGCACAGGTACACGCATGCAGGCAGACATAAACCACATGGACAGCATCTCTTCTGGGGGCTTAAATTGAGATCAGTTCCCATGTAGCCATGAGCACTCAATTTCATAGAGAAACCCTGGGCTGTAAGACATGCTCTGTGTGACTGTGGGCATGTGTGTGTGCATGTGTGCATGCAGTGCTGGGGATGCAATCCAGGGCCTTGCACAGGCCACGCAAGTGCTGGACCACTGAGCCACCCTCCCAGACTTGGATCTTTGGTTTGGAAACAGGCCTTTTGTCTTCTGAGGATTTCTTTCCAAAATGGCAAGGGAGGGCCCATTTGGCAGTGTCCATGAGTAAAGAAAGATCAAGGCCATGGCCAGCTGCTGTGTGCCTAGGGCCCTGTCCAGCAGGAGCATTTGTCCTGGCAGCATTTGTCCCCTGTGGAGGAGGGGTTAAAGCAAAGGCTGCCCCCCACCCCATGGCCTGCAGCCAACAGGAACAAGGGCGGTGACGTCAGTAGGCCGTGGCTGGCTGTGAAGGCACATGATGCTAGGACAGTCGCATTCCTGGAGGGGGACAGCCACCTCTCAAGTGCCAGGTGTGCCAGGCACTCTCACTGGCCTCCCTTTCCGGCTGTCTCTGCACACACAGATGGATGATAGCCCTGGGCGTCTATAGGAGGAAGGGGCTGTGCTCACACTCTGGAAGTCTGCAGCACCTATAGATTCCCCTGTCATGGGGAATCTGACGAGCATGGATTACTCCTGTCACCAACGTGCCCGATGCAGGAAAGGCTGCCGAGCCTTGGTTTCCGGCCCAGATGATTCCACACCCTCCTGGGTACATCCAGAAGGCCTGGGGTTTCTGTTTCCTGCTGGAGCTTGGTGCTCTGTGTGGGTGCACACGGGACCCTGTGTAGCCATGACATCATTGCCTGCCAGTGAGACCTGGGCTGTGGTCCATAGGGAAGGATTCAGCACCATCAAGGTGTGGAGTGGCCTCATCTCTCTTGAGCCAGGCATCCCGCGCCTGTGATAAGCTGTGTGATCAGACTGGTGTGAAGTAGAGCATCTCAGTCACTCTGGGTTCCATCATGCTGAGGCCAAAACCCCCCAGAGACTGGGTCCAGCTTAGAGACCACCCTGGGTCTTTCCTGAACACACACTTGAGGCTGCCGGACCATGTTGCTGCCCGGGGCAGCCCTCCTGCTGCAGCCTTCCGTTTGCATTCCCCTGAGCAAGAGGGTGCATCCCAGTCGGTCTCCTGTCCCTGCAGCCATGCACAGAGCTGGGCCAGACAGGATGGTCGCTGGGCCTAGCAGCCTGGAGCTCATGTTCTTGTGTAGTGTGGAGCCCTGGGGGGCACCCCTGGGTGATGGGCACCCCTGGGAACTGTGTGTCTGCTCTCACTTGGCTGGACGTGCTCTCCTGACCTTCTCCTACCTCTCCTTCCTAAGTGCTTCCCTGACCGCAGGCAGCCTTGCCCTCCCCGGGCTGGACGTTCCCTGACCTGGGGCCTGTGCAGGCCTTTCTGTTTCTGATTGGGCTGTGCCTCCTGGTGCCCTCATCCTCACTGTGGCCTGTCTCCATCCCTGTCCTGCTCTGACCTGCTGTCCTCTCTGTCCCCAGGGTCCCCCTGGACGCCCCGGCCTTCCTGGGGCAGATGGCCTGCCTGGCCCCCCTGGAACCATGCTCATGCTGCCGGTGAGTGTGTGCGTGTGGGCTGGGCAGAGGCCTGAACATGCGTGGGACAGATCGTGTTTCCAGGAGAAAAGTCTCCTTGGCGCCCGTGTCACCTGGCAGGCTAACCACCACCTGGGGCAGTTCTGCTTCGGGAGAGGAGGGGGTCCGAAGGCTGTGGTGGTGCAGGGGCAGGGTTGGGGGCAGGGTCTTTATGGGGGTGTATTGGCCTCTCCTGTCGGGTGGCTTTTGGTGTGGGAAGAAAAGGCAGGAATGCCCCTTCTGGCGGGCTTGTGTCCTGGGTTCCTGGATAAAGGTGCCGTCTCTGTTCAGCTCCACGCTGGAGAGACCAGTGTGGAACCGGGTGCCTTTCCCAGGCTGTGTTGATTGGCTGTCACTAGGGTCAGGAGCAGGTCTCTGGGTGACCCTGGGGCTGAAATCCACAGGCAGAGTGGGTGTGGGTCCGGGCTCTGTGTCACGTCAGAGGCCTGGGGTCCCCGAGTGACCCTTGTCTTCCTTCTGCAGTTCCGCTTTGGAGGTGGTGGAGATGCAGGCTCCAAAGGCCCCATGGTCTCTGCCCAGGAGTCCCAGGCCCAGGCCATCCTCCAGCAGGCCAGGGTGAGTGGTGCAGGCCCTGGGGGTGGTGATGGGGGGAGCCCAGCCCTGAGCTGTAATGGCCCAGTGTCACTCTGTGGCTGGAGGGAGGAGGCTGTGTCCAGTTGGGTCCTCATGAGGGTGGGGAATAGAGGGGGCAGTTGCCCTCGCCCGCAGTGAGGGTTGTGAGTCTCCCCCGTCTGACTTGTAGGAGCCAGCTTTACTGTTTGCAGATGCCTAGATCTGAGCAAGCCTGGATCCTGGACTGGGCAGAGAAACCTCTCTTGGTTGCCAGCTTGGGCAGAGAGCCCTGGGCCTGGGGGCTTGGGGATCGGGGTCTGCGAAGGCTTGTGTGCCTGCTTCCTGGGAATCAGCCGTCAGTGGACTGCTCTTGTTTCTGTGGTGCTAGGGACTGAACCCAGGGCCTTCCCAGCCCTTTCTGTCACTCATTTTGAGAGACAGGGTCTCACAGAGTCACCATGTGTCCCAGGCTGGGCTTGAACTTGTGATCCTCCTGCCTCAGCCTCCTGGAATGTGAGAAATAGTCTGTACTTCTTATGGATGTGGCTCCAGTTTGCTGAGTGCCTGCACCAGCAGTGAATGTGCCGAGGGGGTGGCAGGGCCGCTGGGCTGCCCCCAGGGGTGGGGGTGAGCAGGGAAGCTGCTAGATGATTCCTTGTTGGCAAATATTTACGTGCCACAGCTTGAGCGGTGCTAATGACCCAGTGGGGGTAGTTGCCACTCGGTTTAAGTACTGTGTAGTAGCTGCGGAGCAAATCAGCTGGGTGATGCAGGCCGTCATCTGACGAGCTGTCACCTGCACCCGGGTTTGTTGACTCAGGCCCGCCTGGCTGGCCTTTTCCTCTGGGTGTATTTTAGTTGAAGCTGAGGGAGCAGTGGGCTCAGAAAGGAGATTTTATAGGGTGAAAGAATCTTCTAGAACTACGATGGCATTGGAGGGGTTGCAGGTGCATGACAGAGCAGCTCCTGGAAGTCCAGTCGAAGCTGTGAGGTGGCAGGAGGAGCCACTGCCAGGGGTCAGGTGGGGACAAAGAGCCCAGGTCATGTGTGCTCCCCACACACCCCAGGACCCCCCGGGTGCTAGAGAGGGCTTGGTGTGTTTGCCAGGAGGAGTGAAATGTTTCTTGGTTTAGCCTGAGGGCCACATGCATGGGAAGTGGGGCTCTGGCTCCGCCCAGAGGGGGGCACCTCCTGGGTTCAGCCCTCTGGCCTCACTGCAGTGGGCACTGGCCATGAGGCTGGCGGGCCCCTGCAGGGCTGCCTGACCCTCTCTTCCCTGTCCCGTCCACCCACTTCCTCCTGGCCACGCCTCAGTGTGTTCCCCTTTCTTCTGCAGCTGGCGTTGAGAGGACCAGCTGGCCCGATGGGGCTGACAGGGAGACCCGGCCCCATGGTGAGTCTTGGCTCTGCGTGAGGCTGTTTCCTGCTGTTTCCAGAAGCAGGGTGTGGCTGTACAGCTGTGGGGTACTGGGTGGCCAGTGCCTATGAGTGGGGATTGAGGTCGGTGGCTCAGGGGTCTCATCACCTGTGTCCAGCCTGGGATGGATCCAGGAACAGGCAGGGAGAGCCCTGTGTGCCCAACGCAGAGCACACGCCCCCCAAAGGTACTGCAGGTGGGTGGGGCCGAACCCTTTGCTGGGACTGGGCCTGCTGGGCTGGGGGACTAGGGACACTAACCCTGGCCCTGGCTGTGGCTTTGCCTCATGAACCAGATCGGAGTCCATGTTTCCCTGTGGACCTGTGTCAGAGTCAGGGTAGCCCTGTGTGGGGAAACCCCAGGCTAGCAGCCCTGCCTGGCTCCTTCCCGGGGCCATCATGGTGTGAGATGGACGTGGCGTGCATCAGGGACACTCAGATCCTGTGGGTGTCGAATTGTCCTGGAGTGTGAGGCTCCAAGGACAAGATTTTGATCTCACAGAGCCTCTGGCTGACAACTCGTCTGTCACTGGATTTGGCCTCGGTCTCTTCCCCGGGGCCAGCTCGGGCCAGCCTCCATGGCAGGGGCGCCTGGGCTCCTGGGTGCTCACTGTCCCGAGCTGGCTGTGAGGGGACTTGGCCTGTGGTCCTGTGGAGGAGCCCCCTGTATGCCTGGAGTTCACGTCTCCTAGAGCATTGGAAGCCTGGAGCTCTGTGGCTCTGACTCCTGGGGTCCCCCTGACCTCCTGCCCGCTCTCCTGCCATTGGGTGTATCAGACTCTATGTGGGACACTGTGAACCTGTGTCCCTTGCTGTGGCTGTGTCCTCTGCCCCACAGCTCTCCCTGAGCACATGCTGACTCAGAACTGTCTCCACAGGGCCCTCCTGGCAGTGGAGGTCTGAAGGGCGAGCCGGGCGACATGGGACCTCAGGTAGGTGGGCACTGAGGTGGCCAGGCAGGGTTGTCCTGCTCACTGGCCGTGGGGATCAGTTGGCGGTGCCCTTCTTGCTGCCTTTCTTGGGGAAAGCAAGCAGCAGGAGTGGTGGTCACTGGGGCATGGGAGCAGAGATACCCAAAGCGTGCCATATGTGGTCCTCCACCCTTAGCCGGGAGCCTGTCTGTGCCCTGTCCCGAGATGCCCATGTGTCGGCAGCTGGGATAGTAAGCATTGGCCTGGGCCAGTGGGCATGGGGTCGAGGCGTTGCTCCTTCTGAGGAAGGAAGGTGTGTGCTGAGCCCTGTCCTGCAATTCTCCCGGCAGGGTCCCCGAGGTGTGCAGGGCCCGCCCGGCCCATCAGGGAAGCCTGGAAGACGGGTGAGTGCTGGGGTGACATGGTCTGGTGGGGTGGGCTCAGCTGGGTCACTGTGGAGCCCTCAGTGCCCTCTGTCTGCAGGGTGCATCCTCCTCCAGGGTGTCCTCCATGTCCGGGACTGGGGACAGCTGGCCTGGTACTGGTGCTCAGCCTGTTTCTTGGGCCTGGCCATGGCCCATGTCTTGTAGGCAGCCTCGTGGCTCCAGACTTGGCCCTGGTTGGGAATCATTGCCCAGGTGCCCGCCCAGGCCTACACTTCAGTGGTTTTCCTCTCCTCCTCCGGGATTCTCTGTTGGGAGTCATTCTCCTGAAGGTGCTCCTGGAAGGGTGGGATGTGCATTTATACCAAGTGCTGAGCACCATCCTGGCTGGCTGGGGGTGCCCAGTTAACCCCACTGTGCTCAGACACATGGGACCCCCGAGGCCAATACCCACCACTGCGAGGTGCAGGCAGGGGCTGCACGGGCTGATTCCGCCCGGGAATCCTGTGGAATCCTGCTCAGGAATCCCCAGCCCAGCAGGCGGTTACCTGGGGCCAGGTTCTGAAGCTGGTTTGATCTTGGTAGGTTTCCCATGGCCTCTGCAGACGTGGCTGAGTGTCAGGCACCAGGGTGCTCTGGCCAGGGCGAGGGGAAGTTAGCAGGGGAGACCGGCGTGTGGTTAAACCACGGCAGGGCTACGCTGTGCCAGTGATCCCAGGAAGCCAGTGTGGCCCAGAGATTCCCGCAGAAGAGAGTGGCGGGAAGGGACTCTGCAGACCGGCAGCCTTTGAGGTCTCAGTCATGTTTCCTGTGAGGAGTGTGCCCTGGGGGCTGCGGACACATGGCAGGGCAGGCCTTGTCTAAAGTCCTTCCTATGTAAAACCCATGGAGACGGAGTCGGGGTAGGGGCACTGCTGGGCCCTCTGCCTCGGCGCTTGGGTGGCCAGCATTCCTTATTAAGGGCGGTTGGGAAGATGTGCCAGGGCCAGCTGAGTCCCTGTCCCTCTGGGGTGCTTCCTGTGATCATGGAATCTTTGTAGTTGACCCTCAACCTCAATCCCTGCCCGCTGGCCCTATGGTCAATGAACTGGGCATGGTGGGCTTGGCCTTGGCCACTCCATGGCTGAGAGTCATGGCCATGAGAGTGGTCATTGGTGACATGGTAACTGGGTGTCACCCTGGGTGGCCTGAGCGAGAGTCAGCCTGTCCAGGCCTCAGTGTCCTCCTTGGCCCTGTGAGCCTGTAGCCTGTCACTTCCCTTCCAACGGGTGAAGGGCAGGGTGCTGCTCATGACGGCAGCAGTGTGTCCCTGAGTCCCAGACCCTGGTGCCTGAGGTTGGCAAGTCCAGCAGGGTCTGGCAATGTCCAGGGGGGCGGGTGGCATCTTGCCAAGGGGCCCAACAAGGCCAGCAGCACCTCATTCTTGGTGTGTGGTGAGGGGGGACCTCAGGGCTGTGGATTTGGGTCCCCTGGCTGGCCTGACTGCATTAGGGCCTGAGGCCTGGGAGCTGGCATGGCCTCCGTTGGCTCTGCTCATGGTCAGCCACCTGCCTCTAGTACTGACCACTGTGTCCCTCCTGTGTTTCAGGGCCGGGCTGGGAGTGACGGCGCAAGAGGCATGCCAGGACAGACAGGCCCCAAGGTAGGCTGTGCCCATACCTCCTGGTGCTAGCTCCAAGGTCACGGTCATTCCTGTTGTCACGATGATATCACATCCTGCATGTGGGTTGTACCACGAATGTGGTTATGGTGGGCACTGACAGCTCTCTGGGGATAGCTGTTCCTTAGGATGGCTGGTGCAGGTGACAGTGGCACCTTGCCACTGTCAGCTTGCTCCTGTCACCTGGTGGTGAGCAGGGTGGGATTCCAACCGTGAGAGCCACCTGTGTGGTCAGGCCACATGCTCAGGGCAGGGCAACCTCAGAGTGGTCCGGTGGCTCTCGAGCCCAGGTGGGGGTCTTCTCACCTAGGGGCATGGTGCTTGGGCTGATGCTGGGCAGCCAGCTACAGTCCATGAGTGAGTGATAGGTTCATATTGCACGAGGCCACTCAGTGCCCTCCCCGTGGTCCTCATGTCCGTCCTTGTGCCCTGGTTGTACCTGGACCTTCACCCCATTCCCAGACGGTCCTTTCTGCTGGCTCCAGGGAAGTAGCAGAAATGACAGTACCCTTCTCCAGTGAGGACACCAAGTGGGCAGCCTGGGTCACCCAGGAAGCCAAGCATCCACTCCCTTTTATGGTGCCCAGCTGGCATGGCTGGGCTCTGGAGCACTCTCCTGAGTCGTGAGCTCATGAGATGTTTTGGACTTTGGTGACCTGAGGAGACGGGATAAAAGCGATCCACAAGACAGGCCACAGGAGGCAGAGCAGGAGGGCTGGTCCTGGAGTGGCGAGCCTGGGAGCCAGCTGTGGTGCAGTTGTGGGAGGACAGGCAGGTGCCCATTCCCTTGCCCTCTGGAGAGGCAGAGCATTGGCACACATGCGCTTACAGCATGGCAACCTCTTGGAGTGCTGTGTGACTCAGTCCCTGCATACTTTTGTGGCCTGTGGCCTGGGACAGCAGCTGCCCCTGCTGGGGGCTGAGGGAGACTCGGGCTTTGCAGATCCCAAGAGATGGGCTGCGGTGAAAGGGCCCCTGGTGGCCACCAAGGCCCAGGTGGCTCAGGCTCAGTGACTAACAGGAAGAAAAATGGTCACTGCTTGGCCAGCTGCTCCATGGCATGTTGACCCAGCTCTTTGTTGTCTTTACAGGGCGACCGTGGCTTTGACGGCCTGGCTGGGCTGCCTGGCGAGAAGGGCCACAGGGTGAGTGTTAGGTGCGCGGGGTTGCCAGGGGTTTGTTGGAGGTCCTTCCTTGCAGCCTGATTCCTTCTATAGGGTTGGGTCACCTCCATTCCAAAGTGATTTCAAAGAAAGTTCACTGGAGTGGCCAGGCCAGCTCCTGAATGCTGCCTCTGTTGATAGAAAGTCAGCAGAACCAAAGTGGGTTTCTGGTCTGCAGCTTGCAGCCCACATGTGCTGTGGGCCCAGCAGGCTGGTCCTCTGCGGGCAGCATGGGGGTGTGGGGTCACGTCTCACCTAGAAGCCACCTTCTGATGACACAGCCACTCCCATCCTTGGGGAGCCCAGGCAGCTTGAGCTGCGGAGGACACGTTGTACCATTAGAGTGGTGGCCTGCGAAGGGGGGCGATTCTCATTTCTGTCTCCGTTAGGGAGGACTGGGGGCCAGTACCCCAGCTGTCTGCTCTAGTCTGCTCGTCTTGCTTGGCAAGGACTGGTTATGGTGTTTTCTCCCTGACCTGCTTTCTTTGAAGCAGATTTCTTTGATGTTTCTCTTTGGTTTTGACATATTTGGGGCACACAGGCACTGGTGTGTGTGCATATGCACACACAGAGGCACACACATGCACACGTAGACACACATGGGGTGCACATATGCTCATACACGGGCTCACAGGCACATATGGGCACACACAGGCATGCATGCACACTCAACACACTCAAATTCCGGTGCCTGCTGAGAATCGGCGTCTGCCCAAAGCTTCTGCTTCTGCAAACCCCAGGAGTCCCGTGAGAGCAACCTACAGAGCCGGGAGGCAGAACCCGGCTGGGCACCAGTCCTGTCAGTGGACAGCTGAGCACATATTGAGCACCAACTGTGTGCGAGGCATGGGCCTGAGGGTGGGCTGTGGGTGCACCCCGGGTGGCTCAGATTTGGCTCAGTGGCCAGGGAGTGTCCTTGTGCCTGTTTGGTGCTCGATCTGGTGATGTAGCCAGCACAGCCATCCAGGTGGGGATTGGGGGTGAGACTTTAGCCATCTCCAGGCTCACAGGACTTAGGATTTGCAGGGTCAGAATTAGAGAACAAGGAGACGGGGGCTTAGACAGGGTCTACACACCGGCTCAGGTGTGGCTAACGCTGACTGATTGACTTCCTAGGGTGACCCTGGTCCTTCTGGCCCACCAGGACCCCCGGGAGAGGATGGAGAAAGGGTAGGTATCCCTTCTTCCTGCTGCAGAGCACCACCTGCCTCCTGCGCCTCTGTTAGTTGGGGCAGGACATGAGGCCAGTCACTGGGGGTGGTGGGCGGAGGAGGGAGCAGAGCCGTCACCTCTGGGAGGTGCTGCAAGCTTCTGAGATACACACAGATCCCCACAATCACCTCACCGCCACCGTTCAGTTCAGCGGAGGGTGGTGGTGGTGGTGGTGGTGGTGTGTGTTCCGGGAGTGGCCCTCTCTCCTCTCCCATCGCAGGCCTCAGAAGAGCCGCTCTAATTGCAGGTAGCAGGCGCCCTTGCCTGCAGGAGGCAGAGGCTTAATGAGCTGGCATCTCGCAGATCTCACCAAAGGTGTCAGGGAGGTGGCAGGTGCTGGTGCTGGGTTGCAGGGTGCCAGCGAGGGCTGGGGAGGAAGGGAAGGCTGCAGGAAGTGATTATCCTGGTCCTGGGGGCAGGGATGTGGGGAACAGGTGCCTGGATCTGGAACAGCCGGGAGGGGAGGGAGAAAAGGAGGGGGATGCTGTTTCCCAAACTTGGGGCTTCTGCAGCACCTGAGCCCCAGTACCTGCCACGCGTGTCTCCAGACCCAGGCTGGGCACCCCATGCACTGTGAACTTGGGTAAATAAGGCTCCTCCGTGCACCCTGTGTGCTCAGTGACTCTGGGTACTGGGGTACTTAGGGGAGGTTTGAAAACGCTTGGAAAATGAAAGAGAGGAGCAGGTGGGGTGCAGTGGAACTGGCAGGGTGCAGAGGTGTGGGTGCCAGTGGCTTTTCCATTCTCGCTACTCACACTGCCCCGGCAGGGCTCCTTGTGTGAGCCTCAACAGTCTGCTGTGAGAGGAGGAATGGGAGAGGGATCCTGCTAGATGCCTGTGTGCCTGGATGCAGAGGAAATCCTGTGTGTGCGTGCATACATGTGTGTATACACACAGGCCCTTGTGAGAGGGTATATGTGATGGTTCAGGTATACAAACGTGTGTGCATGTGTGCAGGCATGGGGTGTTAGCATGTACACAAAGCACGTGCATGTGTGTCTGTGGTTGTGTGTATATGTGTATGAGGTACTTGTGTGTGCACACACAGGGCATGTGTACATGGAGAGGGGAGTGGTGACACGTGGTGAGCCAAGCTGGCAGCAGCCCCAGGTGTGGCCCTGGCGTGACCTGCTCCTGGGCTTCTTGGGACCTGACAGCCATCACTTGTGTCATCATGGGATGCCTCTTCCTGCTGCCCATCCCTCCCTGTCACTTGTAAGGATGACTGAGACCTTTGAGTTCAGAGAGTTTCCTGCCTAGCCACCCTGAGCCTGGCTCGTGGCCTGTAGGATCCAGATGCCTGCAGCTGGCGGGGCTGGGTCTCCCAGGTCTCTCCGCTGGTGTGGGATTAGGAAGTGCCAGGTGCTGGAGCAGCCCTGGCCAGAGTCGTGCGACTGGTACAGGGACATCGTCTCTTGGTGTCCATGCCTTGAAGCTTGTCCTTAAGATCCTGCCTCTTTTTCTCCTACAGGGTGACGACGGAGAAGTCGGGCCCAGAGGGCTGCCGGGGGAGCCGGTAGGTGCGCTGATGGGTAGGAATCTGGGTCTCGGCCATGTGGTGACCATGCTATGGCAGGGCCACCCTGGAGCAGGACTGGACGGAGTGCAGAAGCGCCAGGGTTTGCCTTGAGCACAGACAATGCGGGCCTCTCCTGGGGAGGGACAGGAGGCAGCTCAACATTGCAGCCTTCTCTGCAGCCAGAGCCAGCCCTGGAGAGGGCGGGCGCCTGGGGGTTGGGTCGGGGCAGGTGTCTGGGCTGCTGCAGGGTGGGTGCCCGGCTCTCACCGAGCCGGGATCAGAGCTTTAGGCTCCAAGCAAATCTCAGTAGTGCAAGGATGTTAATTGCTTTGCCCTTACCAAGGCTCTGAAGCCCCTCTTTTCTCATTGTCCAAGTCGGGGTGGCTGTTCGCATCGGGTAGCATTAATTGGTGATAAACACTGTGCTCACCACACACCGTGGAGTGTAGGACGGGCTATGCACAAGTGTGCCTGTCTGGAACAGAATGAAGTCCCGGGGTGTCTGTCTGATCAGCCTCTGAGGAGGACCCAGCATCGCCACTCTCCTTAACACACAAGGAGCAGTTCTGGGTTCTTAGCTCCCAAGAAATGTTCCCGTGACTAAAATCACGGAGGAAACACTTAAGAGGTAACGAAGGCCAGAAGCACTTCTGTCTCTAGAAAGCAGCTATCAGAACTGAAGGTGCACGGGATATCGCGGCACTTTTGTTCAAGGCTCCCATCATGGCTCCGGGGGCACGGTGGGCACGAGCTAGTCGGTGGCAGGCGATCTCAGGGCACGTCCAGGTCCTGCAGGCCATCTTGGCTGCAGCCAGGCCTGGGGCTGTGCCCGCTGTGTAGTACTTGGGCCACTGCTTGCCACCCCTTGCTGCTGCTGGGGAGGGGCTAGCATGGCCGCCTCCAGCCAGCCTGAGGCTCCCGTCGCAGGCCTACTTTCTCCTGACCCTGCTTTCCACGTGCTTCCGCCACTGAAAGCAGAAACCAGGGCTGCGTGTCCTTGCGGAGGGGGAGCCGGTTACAGGAATGGCACAAAGCACCCACGCAGTCCGGTGTTACCGTGTGGCATTTCTGCAGGAGGGTGTCTGTGCCCATCTGCCCCAAGCAGGTGTCCACGACAAAGCCCGCTTTCCTGAGGCTGCCCCTCTACCCCTGCCCCCTGCCGCTGATCCCCCACAAGGAGGCCCTGGTCACCTGCCCCCCACCCCCCAGGCCTAAGTCACTTACTGGCTTTTGGGAGAGCCCAGCCAGGACATGGGATTGGCTGGGGGCAGGGGCCAGGGGCCAGTGCTCCATACCCCTGACCCTTCCTTCTTTGTTTTTTCCTCTTGCAGGGGCCACGTGGTCTGCTTGGGCCGAAGGGGCCCCCAGGCCCTCCAGGACCCCCCGTAAGTGCTGTCTCCTCTTGGCATGTGAAGGTCCCTGCCATCAGCTGGTGACCCCTGCGGTAGCAGGGCAGGAATTGTAGGTTTCACTGCTCACACGTAGCCTCGGGCTGCAGTTGGGCCTGCCACCTGCCCCAGCCTGCCTCTGCCTCCCTCTTGGGCGTGTGGCCCCGGCTGTTCCCGTGATAAGCAGTCTGCAGGAGACCCTGTCTTCCAGCCAACCTTCTTCCTGAGTCGGCTCTGTCTTGCTGTCTGGGGCTGCCAGCCTTTCTAGAACTCAGCCCTCTTGCCCCCCACCACAATGCTGGGCCTGGCAGCTCAGCTACCCCTGAGCTCATCTGTGGACTCTGCGGGAAGGGACTGGGGTCAGTGCTTTCCCTGTCCAGTCCTATTCATTTGTCTGCATTCAGTGTCTGTCTTTTGAAATCTCTGCAGGGTGTGACAGGAATGGACGGTCAGCCAGGCCCTAAAGGAAACGTGGTGAGTCCCGGGCCCCAGGGTCTGGCTCCGTGGTGGGGCTGCAGGCACATCCCATCTGGTGGGGAGGCCCTCACTGTCATCCACAGGGTAGACACTGGAGCCCCAGCCCACTGTCCCCCAGGATGGGTGTCTGTCTGTCCGGCACCTGCAAGGTCCGCAAGGCATGGAGGGAGATGGTCATATTCTTCCCATGGGAGGAACTGGCAGCAAATGTCCCAGAAGATGAGGACCCTGGACACTGGGTCTCTCAAGGACACTGAAACTTTAAGACAGGAAGGTCCCATAAAATTCTTCTCCAGTGACATCCCAGGGGTACCAGTGAGATTCTGCTCTGCTTGGTTCAGGGAGCAAGTTAACACCCGCTGTCAGAGTCAAGGGCAGCAGCCCCATGGCACCAAGTCCTGGCCTGGCCCTCTGTGGTGGGGCCTGTGGCCCATGCCCGCCGGGCTGCCCCAGCTGCTGGTGCAGCTGCCCAGGAGTCAAAGCCAGTGCGAGGACGGGTGACCAGGGAAGGAGGTGCAGTGCCCCAGCCTCTTTCAGGGCCTTTGCTTTTGTGTCCCCTAGGGCCCCCAGGGAGAACCCGGCCCTCCGGGACAGCAGGGTAACCCTGGTGCCCAGGTAAGTGGCCTTGGGTGTGGAGCTAGGGATCTGCCATGGGACGGGCTTGGTGCCCAGGGGAACCAGAACCAGGGCTGGTGCCTGGGTGGGGGAGGCCAACAGGGAGCCGGGGATCTGAACCTGTCCTTTCCCTCACTCTGCTGCCTGGCTCTGTTCCCATAGGGTCTCCCAGGCCCCCAGGGTGCCATCGGTCCTCCGGGAGAGAAGGTGAGTGGGCCTGAGCCGTGGGGAAGGGGGAGGCCATCCGGCCCCAGCTGCGTCCCCTGGTCCAACGTGCTCTCTACCAGGCCCGTCAGAGCTGGGCCTTAGCCAGGAGGAAGATCTGGGCTCTTTGTCTCTCACTGGTTCTTAAATTCACTTGCTCGTTCATCCTCCACACACGTGGGGCTGCCACATTTATCGACCAAAACAGACAAGGCACCTGTTAGCACGGGGTCTGTTGTTCACGTGGTTCTCTGAAGTTCATGTTTAGCAGGGCGCCTTGTTTGGCGTTTGGCTTTGTGGTTTACTTTCGTTGTGCTAGATTTGGGGTCCCTGAGACACCTGCCTGCCCGCCTTGCCCTGGGTGTGGGGCGGGGCTGGAGGGGAAGCCCTTATGGGAATGCAGCTGACCCTGGCTCTGGGTGTGTGGGGCAATGCATAGCACCATGGTGGGGCCCGGCGTCTGTGTGTCTAAGGGTCGGTCTGAGTGGGTCAGAACCCTGATGGCTTGAATGCCCAGGGTTGGGGAGCTGTGGCACTGTGACACTGGGCCCTCTGCCAGGCTGCAGGGGGAGTTGCCGGAAAGATGCCCCTGAGCTCACCACCTGCACTGATGCCATGGGGTGAATTCGTGCAGAGTAAACTTGAGGCTACATGGAAGCCCAGGCAGCCCTAGGAAGAGGTGAACCTGGGCGTTTCCTCACGGGGTGTCTGGTCTGTTCTAGGGTCCTCTGGGTAAGCCAGGCCTCCCCGGAATGCCCGGTGCTGACGGACCCCCGGTGAGTATCTCTGTGTTCCCACCCACACCTGTGGGCTGCACCCCAGGGCTAGGGCTGGGAACCCTGGCTTGGGGATGAGAGAGGACATGACCTCCTGTCTCCAGACCCATACGGTGTGGAGCTGTGGCTTATTTTATTGTGGACAGACTTTCCTTCATGCCTTCCCATCAGAGGGTGGTGACCACGCAGGTGGGGACATCGGTGATTTATTAGGGCATCCAGAACAGGACTGCAGTGAGGACCAAGTTGGGTATCCAACCATTCTTAGGTCTCCGGAGTCTTGGGCAGAAGGGCCAGCATGCTGCGTATATTTTTGGTGTTCGTGTATCGCGTGGGGAGCTGGGGAGGTGGGGAACAGCACGCTTGTGATGTGTGAGCGCACAGCTGTGCACCGAATTAGGTGCTGCTGGGAATAGCAAGTCGGTGACAGATCCATCTGTGGCCATGCTGTGCAGGAGGGAGGGTGGAGGGGGAAATGCTCGGAGTGTGCGCACGTGTGTGTGTGCATGTGTGTGCGTGGGCACACGCAGGCCCCCGTGTGCGTTCTCCACTCACCACCCGCTGCAAGGTGTCTCTGGTTGGGGCTTCTTCAGCGGAGGCAGAAACAAGCCCTTGGCAGAAATGGAGAGGCGCTGCCTTAATTATTTCAGATGGCTCATGCCGCTGTTTTAATGACAGCAATAAAACCCACTCAGGAAAGCAGAGCGTGCTGACAGGCAGTCAGTGCCATGGTACCGCACACGGTGCCCTCCTTCCCCTGCTGGGGGACCCTTGGCCTGTGGGTCCCAGAGCCAGCCACTCCTTTTTGATCACTCTCATCCAGCGCAGACTTTCTTTGGGACACGGGGTGGCCTGGTCACGTGGGGCTTGGGTACTGAGTCCTTCGTCTTCCCATATTTGTGTCTTCTAATTTATGATTGTGTTGAACTGGGTTTTTTAAGGCTGCAGAGACACATTTTCTTGTAGGTGATTAAAGATGTAAATAAAATGGTGACAACCTAGATGCCGCCTGGTTGCCCCTGTGTGGTTTCCCCAAGGATCATGGGCTGGCAGGTTGCTCCTGTTCTGGACCTGCAGTGGGTGACACAGGTGCCCACTGCTCTGTGCAGCGTGAGGTTGGGAGGACCCGCCCCAAGCAGATGTGTCCCCACCTAAGAGTGGGTCCCCGGAGGTCACTGGACCCCTTTTGCATGCTGCCAGCAGAGAGGGGCCTTTAGGGGTCCCTCGCCTGGCGGGCCAGTAGGCTGCCCCATGGACTCTCACCTGAGGATGGTTTTTTTGGTCCCGGGTACTGAACTGACGACCTCGCACTTGCCAGGCGTGTGCTGTACCGCTGAGCTCCAGCCCCGGCCCTCGATGTCTCTCCTGAGTCAGTGTTTAAACCAAGAAGTCTGCTCTGGAGTGTGGTCAGGCAGAAGGGGCTGGGAGCAGCAGGTGGACAGGGACCAAGTCCAGACACCCATGGAAGAGACCCCTAATTTGTGTGTGTGTGGAGGGGAAAGAAATCAAAATACCCTCCTCTGTGTCTGCAGTGGTGCGGCATGCCTGGCATCCTGGGCCCTGGGAGGCTGAGGCAGGAGGGTTGCAAGTTTAAGTTTGGGCAACCTAGCAACCTACTGAAATCCTGTCTCAAAATTTAAAAAGGCTGAGGATGTAGCTCAGTGCAGAGGCCCTGGGTTCGCTCCCCAAGGGCTGTTGCACACGTGTGCGCGCACACACATACACACGTGCATGCAGTCTCCTTTGCAGACAGCACATTGCTGGGCAGCCTTATGGAGAGGGCTGCTTGTTTCTCACGTTGGTTTGGTTTGGGTTTTGAAGAAGGATAGGGGCTTTAAAAGAGGTTGAGGGGTAGGAGGTGTTGTGGGGCCCACGCGGTACGCCAGAGCGCAGTGTTCGTGGTCACCCACGGAATGCACTAGAGAGGCGGGTAAGTGGATCACAGGTCCACAGAGTATTATAGAGCCAGTAAGAAGTCGAGTTTCCGTGGCTCTCCAGTGACATGAGGAAATGCTCACGGTCCCCTGTTACATTAAAACCGCTTCCCACCGTGCACGGTGGTGCATGGGTATCTGGGGAGAAATCCGATTAGCAGCGCTGTGGCCCACGGTCAGCTGCAGCTGCTGGGTCTCGAGGTTAGGGGCCTTGGTTTCCCTCTTCCCTTGCCCAGTTGTCAGCAGTGAACATACATTACTTTTTTAATCAGAAAAATGCCACGTACAGATCATTTAAGCCTTATTATTTTCCCATTACGAAAGCCGCGCTCATTACAGAGCACCGGGGAGATGCCAGCAAGGAGAAGCCAGGACCGCTGTGCTGCCAGGTGCCCTGGGAGGTGATCGAGCCCCACCCCCAGCTCCTCAACCAGAACGCAGCATGGGGAACGGCCCTGTACTACACGGACAGGGATGGCGCTGCTGGTGTCCCAGGGGCCCGAGCACCGTGCCGTCTCACTCCCTGTGTCTCTGACAGTGGCCAAACCAGCCATAGCATGAAGAGGGCAGTGGTGCTGAGTGACCAGCCTTGGGGCTGCCCCTGTGTGTGTTGCTGGGCTCCACACACAGGATACCTGCTCACCCCCAGAGGTGCCTAATAGACTGTGGCCTCCAGGGACTGCAGAGCTAGCTGCAGGGAACCCCCTTGGTACCCCAAGCCATGCCCTCTGGGTACTGTTGGGGTTGAGCCCTGGCACCCAGAGCTGCTGGTACCAGGAGCACAAGTGCCATTTCTGGAAGGCAAGGGGGAAGCCAGCTGTGTCCTCTGGGGCCAGAACAGCAGGTCCTGGCCCACCCACTGAGCCTCAGTGTCCTCCAGGGCCACCCAGGCTCCTGCTTGGGAGGCACATTTGCAAAAGCATCAACTCCAGTTGCACAGCTCAGAGCCAAAGGGTATGGTGGGCACACTGTGCTGCCAGGGACTCTGCTGGGGAAGCCGAGGCAGGAGGATCAAAAGTTCAAGCCCGGGCTGGGCAATTTAGCAAGACTCCGCATCAGAATAAAAATGAGAGAGTTGGGGACGCAGCTCAGTGTGAAGGCCCTGGGTTCAGTCCCAGCACCATAAGCAACAGCAGCAGAAGCGCACAGACGGATGCGTCTTAGCAGTCTGTGTGGCTGGGTCTGGAGCCGCAGCCGCAGATGCTGAGACCCCTTGAGCCCTGGCTGCCCCTAGGTGTGAAGAGTTGGGTGCACTGGGACGGTGTCTGTATGGTTTGCAGACAGCGGGAACCTGTCAGAGAGGCCACAGGGCTGGAGTCAGTCCCAGCCTCTCATCCCAGTGTCCATTTTGCTGTGTGACCTGAGCAGGGCCCTCCTTGTCCCTGTCCTCACATTGGCATTTGGTGGGATTCACCCTGGAGGACGGGCTGGGGGCCAATCCAGGAGCCACCTGATCATGGCCATCGTATTGTCACACTGCATCCAGGTGTGGGACACATGTGCCCCTCCAGGACCAGTGCTGGCTGTGGTCAGGGTGGGCTGACACTTCCTGTGTCCTTTTGCAGAGGGGCTGGGAGTGGCCAGGCTGTACTGGCTGCCTGTGCAGCTGTCCTTGAAGTCCATCATCCTGGGGAGAGGAGAGTGGGGGCTGTGACCGTCACTGTCACCTTGCAAGACAGTGACGGGTGACAGGTGGAGCTGGGACAGCGGTCTTGGAGATGGCGATCACTGATGAGCTTTCTCTCTCCGTACAGGGGCACCCTGGCAAGGAAGGTCCTCCAGGAGAGAAAGGAGGCCAGGTGGGTCCTCCCCGAACCCACTCCCCTGGCTGCACAGTCTCCCAGGCCAGGAGGTGGCAGCCTGGGGATTTCCGGTAACCATCAGACAGTGGCCCTGTGCTCTCTGTGTGACTGGGAGCTCTGCCACTTTAGCCCAAGGCCCTTGCTGGGGATGTTTCTTTCTGATGGCAGCTTCTATGGGATCACTGGCCTTTCCCCCTGTCTTGACCTGGTGACCTTCAGTCTCTGGGCTGCTGGAGTGTGACTGGGCATCTCTGTTGGCCCCGGGTGTCCTTGCCACCAGGAGAATCACTCAGCTGCTTTGCTCATTAGCAGACTGTGCTGGGGGATGGGTTACCCCTGAACCCCACTTCGTCCTGTGCTGGAGGATCTGGAGTTGACAGCAGTGACCCAGGTGCCCTCCCTGCAGTGAGCTAACGAAGTCTCCCTTTTGTTTTAGGGTCCACCCGGCCCCCAGGGTCCCATAGGCTATCCAGGCCCTCGAGGAGTCAAGGTGAGCAGGACATGTGCAGCTCCAGGTCCCTGAGGAGATCAGGGTGGGAAGGGACATGGCTTGCCTGATCCTGGGGATCCCTCAAGTGGCACCCAGAGCAGTTCGGTCCTCTGAGTCAGGGGTAGAACACTGAATTGGGTCCCTGCGGCACCAGGATGGGCATATTTGGAGCAGGGGACAATGTCTAGTTGGTTCAAGGAAGCAGGTGGTGGGCACTGCCCAGCGGTTAGGATGAGGGCACATCCTCCCACCTCATGTGTCTCCCTCTGTCCCACATCACCAGGCCCAGGCCCAGGCTCTGCGAAGCCTCTGGCAGCCAGGGTCCCAGCCAAAGCAGGGCGACTCTTGCCTGCAGAGCTCGGATGCATGTCTGTACCTTTGCAGAGGGAGACCTTGCCTGTGCCCTTTGATGCCATCTGGGCAGCCAGAGCTGCTGAGGGAGCCATGGGAGGCACATGCTTATTTGCTGTCATGATCTGGCTGCTCGAGGTGCCAGAATCTTCTAAGCGGGGCCCAGAGATGCAGAGCAGCATCCACAGCACCCCGTCCCCATCCCATCAGCACTCACCGGCTTTGCTCTGAGCTCCAAGCTGAGCTGCCTGGTGTACTCTCCAGTTGCATGGCTCCTCCTTTGAGGAGGGGCGGGTGCAGGTGAGGGTGCTCCTTCTCCCCAGCAAAGGAAGATGTCCTGGCAGCTCAGAGGTCAGGGAAGCTGGGGTAGGTTCTGTCCTTCAAGATGATTTTAAGCAGAAAGCAGGGAAATGCACGCACACAGGACACTCCTGCGGCCTGCGGACTGTGAGAGTTGGGGGCCGGGCTCCCCGCCGCCATCTGTAGTTTGTGGCGTTTGAACCTTGTCTGCATTAGTGCCTGCAGCACACAATTGCTTGATGGGTCCTGGGGCTCCAAAAAGCAGGACTCAAGTTTTTGGGGCCCCCGCCCCTAATTATGCTAAAGTCCACGCTCCAGTAATTGCTTGGCTGCTGACTTGCTGATTCCTGATCAGGTGTCCCTTCCCTGTCCCCAAGTGGCCCCAGCTTCCGTGTCCCAGGAACCAGGATAATCCAAGTACAGAGTGGTGGGAATGACCTTCAGGGCTTGGGAGCCTTGGGCAGCGTGGGCTCCCCCATAGCGTGCTTTTACCAGCAAAACGCCCAATGTGTTTTACAAGGGTGGTAATTCAGCAGCAACGCTGATTACACAAGCCCAGAGATACATGTTTGTCTTATAAATTCCTGCCGCACAGTAAGCCGTTGGCGGTTCCCGTACGTGGCTAATTGCATAAGGCTATTTCTGCGAGGTGTTTGCCTTAAAATGTTTCCGGAGAATGCGCTCATATGTCTGTCTGATTAAAATTCACTCGTGACATGAGCAATCCGGTTAGACTTGGAAGCAGACAGTGGAAGGAAAATCGAGGTTCACAGTGAGTCTCACTGGGGAGACAGATTCCAGCACCCTGTTGGGCCGGGCTGGGCTTGGGCAGGGTGGACACGGCAGAGCTGTGGGTGGGGGCAGTGGTCCAGCTATCGCTGCTGGCAGCAGATGGTCCTGGGTCAGAGGGCTGCAGTTACTGTCCACTGAGGCTGGACCTCTTCCCAAGTCAGTGTCCATCTTAGTCTGTTGGGCTGAATCAGTTACTTTCTCATCCAACACTGGATGCCAACAGATTAAAAGAGGGAGGTGGCTGACATTGTCAGCCCATGATCTGCTGGCTCTAAGCAGGACAGCAGGGCAGAGGGGCCTGGTGGAGGAAAAGCTGCTCAGGTCATGGTGGACAGGAAGTGGAGCGAGTCAAAGGAGAAGCTGGAAAGGGAGATAATAAACACTTCCGGGTCACACGCACAGTAACCACCTCTTCCAACCAGACCATGCCTCCTAACGTGAGTCCACTGTGAGCCTCATGGTCCGGCTGCTTCCTAAAAGCCCAGCCTCTGAGCACACAAGGCTCTGGGGGCTGTAACCCAGATCCTACAAATTGGGAGACTGAGAAGCAGAAAATGTGCCTCCTCCCACAGTCCCAGAGCCTCCAAGCCCAGCTGAAGCCCAGAAAGTTGGTTAAGGGGCGCTATCTGCCTCATAGATTGTGCCTTTTCTCTGTGTCCTCGAGAAAGGAGGGGGACAGGCCCGTGGACTTTCTTGAAGGCACTGTCCCTTTTATAAGGTTCCCCTCTCGTGGCCGAGGCCCTTACCTCTTTTTCTCCTGGTGCTGGAACTGGGGTGTCAGCCTGCTGATCATGCAGCCAGCTGCACCCCAGTGCCAGGCCCAGTTCTTGAAGTGCCACCGACCTGGGCTGTCCCTATCTTGCCCTTCTGAGGGGTGGTAGAGTTCACACTGGGCCCTGGCTGTGCCTGGCTAAGTGTGCTCCTCACTGCCAGGACGATGGAGCCCCCAGTGCTTCCAGAGTCCCAGTGGCCGCCCCTCCAGAGAGAGGGCGGGCCACGGAGCCACACGAGCCCCAGGATGAATGCTGCATGCATCTCAGGGTCCCTGGGGCCCCTTTACCCCAGGGAAATGGCTCAGAACTGCAGCACTGGCCGTGATATGTCCTGGCCACCAGAGGGCAGCCAGCCACCCCTTGGATCCTCAGAGTAGGCCACTCTGGCCAGCAGCAGCCTCTGCCTGGAGTTGAATAGGAGGTCTGGGCCCTCTCTGGGTCTAGTGGGCAGGTGGCCTGAAATAGCCTCAGGGCCAGAGGAGTCACCCTGCTGCGAGGTCTGAGAGCTTGAGCCGCATCAAGGAGGCACAAGGTGTCACCTGTGCTGGCCAGGTGTGGGCCTGGCTTGGTGTTACACAGTGTTGTGACCCTGCCCTTCATGCCACACTTAGCAGGGAGGGGCGATGGATGTCCATGAGTCCTCTGCTATCACTTACGGCTGTTATGACATGCTGCCCATCAGTGTCAATGCTAACACACAGTGACAGTGTCCGCTGACATCAGCCCCTGGCGCGTGCTGAGCCCTGCCCCGAGGGCTTTTGAGTCTTTCCTTCTCAGCAGTGGGAAAGCTATTAGGGTTTCACCAACCTGTTTTCCAGAGAAGGAAACGACCCTGCCTGTTCCAGCCCATCCTCAGAGCCCTGAGGGAGGGCTGGGATCGGACGCTAGTGTGGGAGGCTGTGTCTGCCTTGCAAGGGCAGATCTGGAGCTCAGGGCCAAGGGCCAGGCATCAGCCCTGGCTCTTACACAGGAGGAGACAGGATTCCCTGGGCGGGGATGGGAGATCCTGCTCGTCCCAACTGGAAACCTGTCCTGGGGGAGGGGGCCGGCCAGGGCCAGCACAGAGCTCAGAACTGCCCTGGAGCCCAGCCAGGCTCACCTGGGTGATTACCACCTTCTTTTCCTGCCTGCACAGGGGGCGGACGGCATCCGCGGGCTGAAGGGCACCAAGGGCGAGAAGGTGAGTGACTGTCCCTTTCTGCTATGCTGGGCCCACCACACACAGAAGGGTAGAGTTGGGGCGGCTGCCAGCTTGTGCTCTAGGTCTAGGGCTCCCACTCAGACCAGGCTGGACACAGAGCTGGGCCAGTTAACGGGATCACAGGTGGTGCCAGTCCTCCGGTCCATCTAGTTTCTGTGCCCAGTGCGGTCTGTGTGGGAGCCGTGTCGATTCTTTCTGTGGACTCAGTGGTCCTTTCGTCCTGATTCAGGGTGAAGATGGCTTCCCTGGATTTAAAGGCGACATGGGCATCAAGGGCGATCGGGTGAGTGTTTCAAGCTTGGGATGGGACTGGGGACAGGTAGGTCGGTCTGGGTCCTGCAGGAAGGGCAGGCGGCGTTTTGAGTGACAGAGCTGTTTCTCAGAAGGGAGGCCCCACCTCTGAAGGGATCCTGGTCACAGGGCAGGGTGTGTGGGGACATGGGGGCAATCCTGGTGTCCTTCCTGTGTTCTGGGCTGTCACAGTGGGTCAGCAGGGCATCATTATTTTCTGGCTGAGATTGCGTTTGGAGTGCTTCACTTGACCCTTGTGACCGGGAGAGGTGATGGGAATTACAAGTCTGACAGGCACAAGTTCCTGTGACAGCCAGGGCCACTGCTTCTCTAGCAGATCCTAGGGCTCCGGCCTGGGCCACACCCTGCTGAAATCCAGGTCTCTCTGAACCCTTGCACCATCTGGTCCCCACACAGCGCTCCAGTCCCTCTTGGGCCTCTGGGGTTGCCTGTCTCAGGAGAAGCCCAGCAGCCTGGCATTCTCCTGGTGAATTGTGAACCTTGAGGCCATACCTGCAGTCGTTGGTACCCACAAGAAAGCCACAACTACATGGTTTCTTAACCAGCAGAGAAAGTGACAGTTTCCCCAGCTCCAGAGCTGGGCAGAGGCAGATGTTGCCTCCCTACCCAGGTGGCGCAGCCAGCCAGCTGCTGTGTGCACACCTGGACGTCCAGACATCTGCCAGCCAATGTTTCCCACATTGCCATCTCCAAAGTGGGGCAGGAGGCGTCTCCCCAGAACATCCTGAGCCAGGGAGCTGGGACATGTGGTGCTTTGTCCTTTTGTCCCAGTCTGGCAGGCAAATGGCAGGAGCACTCTGCTCTGCGTGTCTGTCAGGAGAGTCTGTCCCATGGTTCTGTCCCCTATTCCTACTGCTGCCTCATGGTTGCAGGCAGGAATGCGGGACTGCCTGTCTCCCTGGGCCTTGACAGCTCTGAGGTGCAGGTCCTGCATCTCCTTCCCCTTGGGCGGCTTGATGCATACCTTTGGGGTCTATGTGACCAGGGCACAGCCTGCAGAGGTCGCAAAGGACACTAGCCCTGGGAGCAGAGTTCTGGTGCCTGCACAAGGACACCATAGAGCCGGGGACCCAGCCCTGGGTGCAGATGGTGCTGCTGACTCCTGTTCCTGGATGCAGAGCCTGGCCACCTTCTTTGGGACAGGAAGTGCTCTGCCCACTTGCTATCCATGCTGTGTACTTTCTTATGGGGCCTCCCAGCTGTTCATAGCTGCTCTGGTGACCGAAGGCCACAGGGGCCACTCAGCAAGGGTCCCCAGTCAGCCACGGTGCAGCCTCTGATCTGGCAGCCCCTGGGACCCTTCTGTTTGGGACCCAGGACTCCCCACCTGCAATGTGGGGACACTGGGTGAGGTGGCATTTAAACCACCATTTCTGGTGTGCATTCTCGGGTCTCCTGGTGCCAGTGGTGCCCAGGTAACTGTCCGGATGGTCCATCTCCAGCCTCGCAATCCCTCATGCCCATTTGGGGAGGGAGCAGTTCAGGGCAGCACCTGCTGAGCAGAGTTATTTCAGCCCGGACAAGGTGCCTGGGAGGAAGGGCTGGAGCTGGGGATAGAGCTGGGGATAGTGCTGCCCCATCAGAGACCCCGGTGCAGCTGCATGGCCTCCAGGCACCACTGTAGAAGCCTCTCACTCCCAGCCAGCAGGGTTGTCATCAGTGGAGGTCAGAGCCTGTAGGGTCCCCTCATTGCCTCTTTTTTTCATTGCAGGGGGAGATTGGCCCACCTGGTCCCAGGGGCGAAGATGGCCCTGAAGGCCCGAAGGGCCGTGGCGGTCCCAATGGAGATCCGGGTCCCCTGGGGCCCCCCGGAGAGAAGGTTAGTGATAGCAGATGCCCAGCTGCCATCCCAGACTCGGAACAGGCCCCTCCTGAGGCCTTGGGCTCCCTGGCTGCTGGTGGGGCTGGTCCTGAATGTAGATCCCTTCTCCTCCTTTTGGCCATGAGCTTTGCTGAGCAGATCCTGTTATTGTTCTGAGTTGAGTCTCTTGAGCTCTCTCCCATGCAGAGGAGCACTTTCCCCAAGTGTCCCCCAGACAGGGACGCAGGCTGCCCCTCTGTCCTTGTCCAGTTCCTGTCTGGCACTGAAGATAGCATAGACCCCACCTGACGGGAGAGCGTAGTCCTGGGGAGGGAGGCTCTGCCCACTGCAGGAGGATGCACTGCACCCATACGGCCACCCCTGGGCTCCAGCCCCCTCCCTCTATCTGGGTAGGAGTGGACACAGAAGTGGCATAAGCTTCCTGCTTTGAGAGTCCCATGGCCCCAGCTCTTACATGAGGCTAAGGGGCAGCCCACAGAGAGACAGCCTTGTGTGTGACTGTCCTGCAGCCTCTGGGAATTTGGGGGAAACGTCACACTTGCAGTGTAACACAGCACTTTTCTCTTTCCCCAGGGCAAACTTGGAGTCCCAGGCTTACCCGGGTACCCCGGAAGACAAGGGCCAAAGGTAATCTAAGCCGTGGTAGGTCCCTGGCACGGGCCGTGACTCCCCACCCTGGCACAGTCTCATCCACTGTCCATCCTTGGGTAGCTTCTGGCTTCAAAGATGTGGGCTCCGTGGTCCCTTATCTCTATTCCTGGCCTTTGTGTGTATTTAGCCAAGTCTGAAGGAGGCTTGGCGGTGAGGGGAACCTTTCAGAGATGGCACCAGCCCTACCCCAGCAGGGGGCAGGCCTGGCTGGTGGCCCGAGGTGGCTCTGTCCCTGCTTTGTCCTTACCCAGAACTCGGGGTACCATCTCAGCTCTACTCCAACTTGAGGGACATGCAGGTGATTTGCTCGTGATGGGGCATAGCAGAGCTGAATCCTTCTTGTGTGCAATCATGTCTGGTTTAAGTGGAGCAGCTCCTGAAGGCTTTGGGGAGCGCTGAAAACATTATTCCTTTCTCCAGATCTCACATTTTACTATTCATGGTTCTACCTTAAACGATAATCGGTTGCCCACACCGGAGACCTAGTTAGCTGCAAAGCGATCCTGCCTGCTCAGGTTAGAATTTCTACCTTTCTGCCGCCATCGTCCAGCGAATGGAGCCTTCCAGGTCTCTGTAGCTCTGTCCTGGCCCTGGTGACATGAGGGAGTGTGTGGAAAATGCCCTGCTCTCGTCCAGGAGGGCCTCCCCTGATGTTGTGTAGATGCAGGAGTGGGGCTGGCGGGAGCAGACTCCGGCTCTGTGGCTGTGACATCACTCCGAACTGAGTGCGCTCCACTCAAAGGCTGCAGGGACGGGCTGGTGGACACATTTCCTCTTTAAACACTTGTCCCTTTGGTGAGGAGAGGCTGGCACAGGAATCCTGGTCAGCAGTTGGCTGTTCCAGACGGCAGTGACCCATTTCTGGGAGGAGCTCTGTGCCATCTGGGTTAGGTTCCCTTCGCCCAGGCTCCCCCCAGTAGGATAGGAGTGGACCCGGAAAGTGGTGGCCAGCACCCCGGGCAGTGGCTCACCATCACTGTCCTCATGCCAGCATAGTAGGGGTCTGGATATTTGCCAGCCTAGAGTCCTTAGGCCCACTGTTGGCAAATGTCCTGGAGATTCCTGGGCTGGAGTAGCTGTTAGATGCCTCAGTCTGTGCATAACCTGCCGTCTGTTTCTGACTTCGCAAGCTGCCACTCTTTAGTTAGAGGTGCTGTGGGAAGGACACAAACCTGGCCATGGGCCTGGTGAACAAAACATCCGAGGTGCGAGGTTGGTACTGCATCCCCAGGCCACCTGGGCAGCAGAAGGTCCCTTTCCCTGTCTCTGATACATCCCAGCAGTGTGACAGCCTTGGGTGTGCGGGCGGAGGGTGTAGGGTGGAGTGGGGGGCGTATGTTAGGGTCCAGTTGGGCTTTTAGGTCTGGAATCGGAAGTACCCAGGGATTACTCACTGAGCTGACCAGTGGAAGAGTGTTGAGGGAGTGTGTGGGTGGTGGGCGGCTGAGTAGATGGATGGATGATGGGTGGTAGGTGGGCAGATGGATAGATGGGTGGGCGGATGGATGGGTGGTGATGTGTGGTAAAGGTGGGTGCATGGGTAGGAGGTATGATGGATGGCTATAGCATGGCTTCCCATGGGTAGATAGGTGGATTGACGGCTGGGTAGGTGGATGGATGCACAAGTGAATGGGTGGACTGAATGTGGATAGGTGCATGGATGGATGGGTGAGTGAATGGGTAGATGGTGGGTGGACGGTGGATGAATGGATGATGGTGGGTAGGTAGGTGGCAGGATGGATGGGTGACGGTGGGTGGCTGGATGAGTGGTGACAGCATGGGTGCCCGGGAAGGTGAATAGGAGGGGGGTAGAGGGAGGAGGCACCAGCAGGGTAATGCCTCACTCTGGTTGGCACTCGTGCCCACTCCTTCACTGCCTCTCTTGCAGGGTTCCATTGGATTCCCAGGATTCCCTGGTGCCAACGGAGAGAAGGGTGGCCGGGTAAGCAGGCTGGGCTTGGGGCGGGTGACTCTTGCTGCCTTGCATGTGGCCGTCACCTCTTCTGTCAGCGGTCATTCATTTCCTCTCTCATGTGTTGCCAAAAGCACTTTCCTGCCTGGCAGGTCTTAAACACTGGCCTTCAGCCCTTGCCAGCGACTCTCCTCAGTGTCCCCTGGCACTGTGACACGGGGCGCAGCGGGCAGGAGCAAAGCATGGTGGGAAAATGGAGCTTTCTTGTGAATGGTACACGCCGGAAGGCTCTCTCGGCCCTCAGTGGAACAGATCTCTCTCCCCCTGTCTTCCTCTCTTGCTCTCTCTCTTTCTTTCTCCCTCTTTCCCTCTCTCTTCATCTCTCTCCCTCTCTATCCCTCCTTTCCTCTCTCCCTTTCTCACTCTCTTTTTCAAAGATGGCTTTGAAGCAGCATCTTGTGTGGCCCCTCCTCTGCATTGCCACCCCCTCCCCCGTACTCCTGCGCCGCTCTCTGTGTGCTAGGCAGTGGCAGGTGCCACGTGCTTTGAGTCCTCCACTGCCCCCTGGGCTGGGCAGGGAGGGGCTAAGCCCCATCTTCTGGGACGTCCCAGCCAGCCCAGGGCCCCCAGTGTGGACACTTCCGGGTGCGGTCCCAGTGCTAAACATACATAGCCCATTGAGACGGAGCAAGGGGATACCTGGACTCTGAACCACCCCGTCTGCAGACCCAAGGGCACATGAAACTGTCTGCGGAGGCTGCAGGACCATGCCCCCACCTCTGCTTGGCTCGTCCCCCTCACCCAGGGGCCCGCAGGGCTCCGCAAGGGCAGCAGGCTGAAAGCAGCATCACTGAACTCTGCCAGGCAGCAGGGAGGGCCATGCACTGGTGGAGACCGTGGGCATCAGCAGTGTTCTGCCGACCCACAGCTCAGAGCGCAGGACTGGCCTGGGCCCAGGGCATGTGGCACACAGGGGTGACCGTTGTCTCTGTCCCCAGGTCTCTGTCTGTTTCCTCTCTCTCCCTGCCTTCCTTCCTCTCTTTCCTCCTTCTATCCATCGATCGTCTGTCTTCTCTGTTGGTCTGTACACCTGTGTATCTTGCTTACCATCTAGCTATCAGTGTCCATTAGTCCACCGTCTGTCTTCTTTTAATGACCTGTCAGTCGTTTTTCTCCTATTATCTATCAGTCCTCCATGTATCATCTTTATACCTCTTCCATTCCTCCTCCTGGAGAAGATCTGGTGGTGTCTTTGGAGAGAGGCTGTCCCCTGGGGACCTGCAAGGCCCCTTGCAGACAGTGGCCAAGGTCTTGTGAGTGGGAGACATTGGTGACAAGGTGTAGTGTAGGGCACCAGCCATGCTGTACCAGGAAGACTGTGACCTTCAGCAGCCAATGATGGGATCCAATATCAGGTTTTTTCCGTGGATCAGGGGCTCAGGATGGAGGTCCCTATGGCCCACATCCTGTGCTCCCAGTGAGGCTCACATACCTTGGCCTCCCGCACTGTGCCCAGCCTGGGAGTCTGTGCAGATGATCTGGGTCCCTGCTGGCCATCATCCAGAATATCAGCATCATGGCCACCAACAAAACACAAAGCCCGAATCACCCCATGACCTGCCAGGCTCTAAAATCTCCATCTGTTCGGAGCCTCAAGGTGGTGTCTCCCCACTCAGCCTGGCCAGGGATGTTCTGTGCCCCTGCACAGACTCCAGACGAGAGAGCGAAGCCATCAGTGTCTCTGAATACGCGCCTGGGCCGATGTCTTCACCTTTGTCACGATCTGCACACTCCGTCCAGGGACATGCAGGATGCTTCCCTCACACACGGAATGGCCCTGTGGTGCCATGCTGTGCAGGGAGGTCCATGCTCCCCGGCTATTTTGTGGTGGCTTTGCATAAAATGTGGAAAACCAAAGAAGACCTGGGTGGCCTCAGGCCTGAGAGTTGAGGCAGCTTCCCCGGGGTCCACGGAGGCTGGAGGCCAGCTATGCTGGAACATGCACTGTCTTCTCTTGTCGGAGACCTAGGTTCCTCTCAGCGACCTCAGCCCACCTCTCGTGGCTGTGAATTCCTCCCCTGCCCTGGGCTTGGGTCTTTCTTTCGTCCGGAGGTCGTTCCGTCCCTTGCAGTGGTGCATTTTTCTCCAGTCTTTATGAGTGGCCATGCTTTGCCAGGCCCTGGGGACCCAGGTGGTCAAAATGGGCATTTGTCTGTGCGAGAGAGGAACACCAGAGACCAGCACTCCTGGGCTACAGTGTAGGCTGCCTGACCCTGCAGCTCCGGATGGTGTGTGGATGCCAGAGTTGCACTGGAAAGGCAGGGTGCTTCCTGGAGATGGAAGTGGAGGGGAGGCGTGAGGCAGAGGAGCAGGGGACTCCCCAGTGTGGACTGGGGAGAGGTGTGGAGGCCAGTGGGGACCTACTGGGGGTGTAACAGGGGCGACCTGCACGGTGGCAGGGGGAAGGAAGAGGACAAAGGGACCGTCCGTCCCTTTGTCACACTGGTCAGCTGGCTCCTCGAAGTGTGGAGACCCTCGACAAGACTGATGGCGACTATGTCTGCTACACGAGCACCTGTGCCGTCCTCCGAACCCTGGCTGCTGCTGAGCTGGCGGCTGGCCTCCACCACCATCAGGGTTGGCCCATGGAACCGTCGGGAGCTACGCTGCACCACTGAGCCGGCTGCAGTCCACAGCATGGGCCAGAAAAGTGACAAACTAGGAACTTCCCGGGACTGAGGCGCCACCTCAGCACGCCCTACCCAGGGGGGAGGAGGATCCTTGTCGGTTCTTTCCTGGCGAGGCCAGGGGCACAGGCACTTGTGGGCAGGCTGTGAAGGGACGTGGGCACTTCCTGTGGTACCGTCTCAGTCACTAGGGTGGAAACCCGGCTTGGATTCGTGTCTACTGGGAGCTGGTGAGCAAGATGCCACCTGAGAACCGGATGGAGTGAGTTGCTGTGACTCTGTTGGGGCCCCGGCAAAGCTTGGGCACCTCAGCGTCAGGCACAGTGTGGCCTGGCTGCACCCGGGAGCTGTCTGTGCTGTGAGATGTGTCCCAGGTAGTGTCCTGGAGACGAAATGTCAAGCTGAGGACTGTACCCCGGGAGAGGCTGGCATGAGCGGACCTGGTGGCATCTCAGCCTCACTGCAGGTTGATCTGGGTGTCTATGCCGGCATGAGGTTTACCACACAGAGGCTGCGGGTATCTCCATGATTTTTACCTGCAAAGATCAGTATGAAGCCGACAGGTACTGGCACAGAACTGAAGCACTGGAACCAGAACGCGTTGTTCAAACAGCAGCAAAATTACTCACCTTATCAATGGTTTTATTAAATGCATCTTGGAATGGGAGGTTGGAGAGCGATTCTGATTCTGGCAGTGAGTGAATGAGAACTGGTGGGAAGACGCTGCTTGCTGGCTCCCAGCCGTACAGAGTCAGCTTGGGCACTGCCATGGGGGACCAGGAGGAAACCCGGGAAGGAGCCTGGATGCACCAGGCTGTGTTCAATCCGTTCCTTCCGTGTGCTGGTGATAAACCAAATTTTCCAGCCATACTATCTGTACTTCAGAAGAAAACAAAAATAAACATACCCCGGGCAGGCATTTGCGTTCTGTGGTTTGGAAGATGCAAAGCAGGCTTGGAAACGGGAGTCTGAATTCTACAAGAGGCGCCAATGACTCTTGGATCTGTGATATATGTGTTAAATTGCAGGTTTGCCCGTCCGCGGAGCCTGCTGAAAATTTAATGGCTAATACTCTTAACAGTAGCAGAAGTAAATTATGTATGAAAGGAGTTGACTTTCTTCTCTTTTCTTGCAATAATGGTTTCTTCCCCTGCTGAGAGAGAGAGAGAGAGAGAGAGAGAGAGAGAGAGAGAGAGAGAGACAGAGACAGAGAGAGACAGAGAGAGGGGGGGCAGGCAGCAAGGGTCGAGGGAGGGAGGCAGGTGGAGGAGCTTTGCAGATAAGAGACCAGGTAGGTAGTAAATGTCCATCCCACTGGGGGAGGAAACTTGGCCTCCGCAGGGTCATGTGGGGTACCAGACTGTGCTGGGCACTCCTTGACCCGATTTTCTCCCACTTCACCCCAGATGAGCCTCAGGCACAATGTCCATGCCCCAGGGAGGTGGGTTCCTGGGCAGGGCTGACCATCTCTTTGCTTCTAGGGGACACCTGGCAAACCCGGACCACGGGGACAGCGAGGCCCAACGGTAGGCTCCTGTGGGCTGAGGGCTGCCCGGGAGGAAAGGGGTGTGTGGGCAGGGTGGGTGGGCTCCGGGAGCCCGGCCTCTGAGCTGACCTCCTTTTCTTCGTTCTCCCCATCCCAGGGTCCGAGGGGTGAAAGAGGTCCACGGGGAATCACGGGGAAGCCTGGGCCCAAGGTATGTTCTTGGTTCCTTCTGTGGTGACCAAGTGAGCCTGAGTGTTACTGCTGAGGTGGCTGGGTGCCCCTGAGGGTGTTCTGTGGCTTTTTGTTTGAAAGAGGAGGCATTGAAGGCTGACCCTGTCCTCCAGCAGCCTCTGAGAGCTTGAGGAACTGCAGAGGTGACCGAGAGTGTCAGGATACCCCCCCACATCCTGTCACTGACAGGCCCCATGCAGACTACCCTGTTTTGCCAGCAGAGACTTTGCCGGGGTGATCTCTGCAGCTTCCCGCCCAACCTGCCCATCTGCAGACAAGCTCAGTGCCCCGTTGTCCCTGATCTGTCCCGTCAGAACTGCAGAGGGCCCCGTGAGATGGAGCTCTGGCTGTCTGGGTCTGCAGGAAGGTCTCTCCACTGATCTCCGAGTGCCTCCTGCATGCCTCCCACTCCCAGTGATTCAGCGCACCCCATGTCTGGGGATGTGAGGGGACAAAGCCGTGGGCAACTGGGTGCAGCCTTTGTCTGTCCATAGGGGAGTATTCTGGAAATGCCAGTCCCCTGTCATGTCAACTCGGATTAGCAGCAGGTGCAGGGAAAGGGGACAGGCAAAGTCGAGGGCCACTGGACACCCCAATCTGAGGCGTCCTCTCCTGAGAACAGATGAGGTTGAGGAGGGTGCACCCAAGGACACTTTGGTGATGTCACAGGCTGCAGTCTTTCTGTCTACATGAGAATCTCAGCAAGCTTCTCTCTCTTTCTCTGTCTCTCTCTCCCCCAAGGGCAACTCTGGAGGCGATGGCCCAGCCGGCCCTCCCGGTGAGCGGGTAAGCGTCCTGCCTAGGACCCTGGGATACCTTTGTGGGACCGCTGTGCCCCTACCTAGGAGTGGGGTTTCCTAAGACCCCATGGTGGTAGCTCCCCGAAAGTGCAGCCTTCATTAGGTTAAAGGTGTCAGCCCTGCCACCAGGCCTGGTCTCACACAGGAAAGTGGGTGCTTGACCCTGTCCTGCTCCAGGCATCCAGGCCATCAGTCTGTGATTGGCCCCAGAACACCCTGGGCTGGGTCCCCCATTTCTTGGAGAGGGTTGGGGGCTGGTACCATGCCAGGGGGGTGGGAGTTGTGGGCACAGTTGAGTGCTAGGCTGCTGGGGAGAGGCCCTCTGTCTCATGCTCGCCATCCTGTCCCCAGGGACCCAACGGACCCCAAGGACCCACCGGCTTCCCTGGACCAAAGGGTCCTCCGGTAAGTAGCACCTTCTCCCGAGGCTGGCTGCCCTGTCCACTGGATGTGACATCCCCCAGTGCCTGGCCTTTCCCTAAGGACTGCTGGTAGGGAGGAGGCTCAGTGGGACCCTGGCTGGGCAGCAGGAGGGTGGCAGCCCATGGCTGTGTCCATCTGCCTGGACGTCCTGAGCCACAGTATGGGTATCTCTTCTGTTCAGACCCTCATGATGGTCCATTTGGGCCTGGAATGCTATAAAAAACAGTCACAGACATGGCAGCTTTGACTCTTCTGTCCTAGTCCTGGGGCCCAGGGTTCAGCAGGCTGTTTCCCTCTGGAGGTTCTGGGGAGCTTCTACTCCAGTCTCTCATCTCTCAAGGCCCAGGCTCCCTGCCGATCCTTAACTTCCATCCCCAGTCCTGGCCTCCATCCCCTCCCCGGTCTCCAGCTGTCTCTGTATAAGGCAGTCACTGGCTGACTAACTGATCACACTGGCAAAGTCCAAGTGAGGACCTGCTCTAGGCTTGGGACTTCAGCATAGCTTTCTGGGGGATCTAGCTCACCTCTTTGAAGGTTCAACCTAGTTCTTCAGTGCACCTCTAAAACAGAAAGTTACCCAACCATGGGGGCTACTGCCAGCTGGTGGTGAGGCTGTGGTGGGACAGACTTGGCCCCAGGATGGTTGGGCCACCACCTGCTGACCTTAGAGCGCTGGTCTGGTCGGCTTTTCACTTCGTCTCTTTCTGCCGGGGAGGTGCACATGATACCCGCATCCTGTCGGGTGACCATAGGGTGCTGTCAGATGACAGGAAGGTGCCAGCGACACCTCCTGTCTTGGCTTCTCCAGGGTCCTTGTCATTGCTGTCACTGTGACTGCATTTAGCAGACAAAGTCTCAGGAATAGAGTCATTGAGGGAGCTATAATTTCTGTTGACCAGAGTGGTCCAGGCCCCATGGCAGCAGAGGCCTTTGCAGAGTAAAACATCTTTCCTTTACTTCTTTCCTCAGGGCCCCCCAGGCAAGGACGGGCTCCCTGGACACCCTGGACAGAGAGGCGAGACTGTGAGTACCCTGAGTGCTGGGTGCTGAGTGCTAGGGCCACATGTCCTGGCCTTTTCCTTTGCTGTATGTGGGAGCTCTGTGACTGTCCGTCACGGTCTGGGAACCCTCCTGGCTGGGACAGACCAGCTGCAGTGCCCTGGACATCTGTGGACAGCAGGCAGGAGCTGACTTCCTGTTGGTCTCAGCAGCTTTAATCAAAAGCCACATTTAAACCATGAGGACCCAACTAAGCGTCATCAGCTGCTGAAACCTCAGGCATGCGGCCTGGCGGGAGCTTTCGCCTCGGTTGGGCCTCCAGGGCCTCAGTTAGGAAAGTCTCTGTGTAGATTCTGCATTTGCGCTGTGCCATCTGGTGATTTTAGGCTGTAATTTCCAAGCGGAGGGTGGCAAGCCTGTACCAACCCCAACCATGTGCACCTCGGTGATGCCAGGTCTCGGGCTGGTGGTCAGGATTAGGAGGATTCCCCTGCCCTCTTCTTTAGCAGTAACAAAGGACAGTGCCGGGCTGCACTGAAATTTGGCCTTTCTGTGGGTACCCACTGTGTGGATGGGGGTCATCTCTGCAAGCAGAGGGTGGCCTTCACCGCACCCTTACCTTTAGAAATGGCATTTCAGGCTACCAGGACTGTGGGTCCCTCCATCTCCCATTGACATCACATTTATCAGGAACATGATCATTTTCTGACCTGCACCAAACCCCTATTGGGTGTTTGTCCCACTCCGTGGAAGTCCTGTCCTGGGCACCAAGTGATTTGGGTCACACATGTGCCTTGGGGGCTCTAGGCTTGGGACACCCGAAGCTGTGTGGTGCACGGTGACTTCTTTGTCACCTGGCTGTGATCCTTCACTGTGTGTGCCCGCTTTGTGCACCGAGTTTTGTTAATGTCTCCCACGGAGCAGAGCGGCAGCCGGGCTGCAATGGCAGAAAGGTCCTTTGTCTCTGCAGCCAGCTTGAGTGTGCTGGGAGGTCTGGAGAGGCAGCCCCAGCCCTGGCTGGCCCTGCGTGAGACAGGGCTTTGAATGCTGTAGCTGATGATACGATCTTGCTGCCTGCCTGCTTTAGAAAAATGCCTTCTGTCTCTCTTTGGTGGCTCGTGCTGAAACTCCTTTTAATTACGCCTTCGCCAAGGCTCTGCGCAGCCTGTGCTGGCCGATAAATGGAGATTACAGACCTCTTTTGTTTATAGAGAAAAATTAAAACATCTCTTTCAGGCTTTGCACATTTTTCTCTCATATCTTCCCAAGGAGACAAGATAGGAGGTTTTGCATACTGTGTGCTGTTTGCCACTGTCAGTCTGGAAAGGGCTGCTAAAATAATTAGGCCGTGCTGGGGACAGAGCCTTTTCCAGTGGCTTGTGCTTCACTGACCACCTTCTTGGACATGGGTGGCACCATGCTTGGCCCTAGGTGTTGACTTAATCTTTATTTAAATGAAAACAGAAGCTTTGATTCCTCTTCCTGCGTGAGAGCATGCAGCCCATTTCCCAGCAAGGAGCTGGAGGCTGATTCTGTCTCATCAGCCTTGGCCGGTCTCTGAGTCACCATGGACCAGATGGTCCGGCCTTCGAACCCTCTATTGTTAGCGATGACGTTCACAGCTCTTCACCGGCCTCTCCCGCTTCCCTGCTGTGCTGCGCCCCTCTCCCTGTCCATCTCCTCACTTTTCCAAGTGGGAATGCCCAGGCTTCCGAGAACGCTGTGCCACACGTGGCCAGTGTGGCCTGGCACACACAGCCGAGCTCCTGGGCTCTGCAGAGACCCCACCTGCTGGGGCCGCGCTCGGCACATAGAACAGATTCTCCTGCAGCCAGTTAAAAATAATACCTGTGTGCCGCCGGCTGCGAACTGGCTCCTGCTTGTCCTAAACACACACAAAGGAGCAGGTTGGTGGCTCTCTTGTCGTGCATGAGAGGCGTCCGTGACAAAATCAGAGTCGCCCCCACAGAGGCACTAATGAGAACAGCCCAGAGGTGGCTCCCACGTTCCCACAGGAAACGAACGCTTCGTGACTCAAGCCAGCTCATGTGCATGGGATTGTGGCGTGGAACGAACCCATCTGACTTCCTGACTTCCGTGCAGGGCTGCTCTGATGAAATCCACCATTTGGGGACAGGGCAGGAAGGGGTGCAGGCCTACCAAGGAGGGCAGCTAGAGTGGTGAGGTGGCTTCTGGTAACCCCAATCTGCTGTCTCTTCACAGGGCTTCCAAGGCAAGACCGGCCCTCCAGGACCCCCAGGTGTGGTTGGTCCTCAGGTGAGACCCAGCACCCCAGTGTTCTGGGCTTTGGGTGTCTCCACTGTGCGGGAGGGAGGATCAGGGCTTGGGGCCCAAGTCCCCTGATTCCAAGGGAGGCAATGCTACAGGTGGGCAAGGTATGTGTAGCGGGCACTAGCAGCAACTGTGCCAGGGATCTCGCTGTGGGGAAGGAGTGTGTGCTGATGGCTGTGCAGAGGGGCCACATGGGGACAGGTGTGGGCCTCCCTGAGCACATGGTCTTCCTGTAGCATCCAAGGGAACCAAGTCCACTGGCTCTTGCCAGCACCCTGGGCCACCCATGCCAGACTCAGAGGGTCATGGTCAGTGGGAAGAGTAGCAGCTGCCCAGGCTAGGAGTCAGGGCAGCCAGACGGGCAGCGGTCAGCATGCCAACACAGGGCTGAAGACAGCAGGCTCCTGACCCGTGGTGGCCGTCTCCGCACAGCCAGTGTGGCACAAGGCCAGCAGTGAGCACTGGTGGTGTCCATCCAGCTTTCTGCCTTCTGGCTTTTGGCAGGAAGGAACAGGTTCAAGGAGGGCAGAGGCATGGTGGCCCCAGGTGGTGCTGTGCCTGGGGGTCTGGGCTGTCCTTAGACACAGGAAATGGCCACCCCCTGCAAGCTGCTGAAGGATGACAGGTGGCGGTGCTGGTTTTCTCCCCAGGGTCCTACGGGAGAAACAGGCCCAATGGGCGAGCGGGGCCACCCTGGACCCCCAGGCCCTCCTGGTGAACAGGGACTCCCAGGCCTTGCCGGCAAAGAAGGGACGAAGGTGAGTCTCTGCAGCTCCCTTGTCAGGCTGCCCTTCCCTGAGGAGTCATTTAGGACCTGCCTTCTCCTTTTCCTCCTCTCCAATGCTTCTCAGGCTAATTTAGCTTCATCTCTGCTCGACTGGAGCCAGGGCTCGAGGTAACCTGGGAGGGGACGGCACAGAGGAGAAAGAATCAAAGCCATGCAGTCTCTATGGGGAGCCCTGTTCCCAGCCACTGCCTGCTCCCAGAAATGGATAAAACACTGTCCTGCTTCACACATCCAACACAGATCTGGTAGAAAGTGATGCTTTAAAAATCCCCTACCAGGAATGGCTTAAAGTAGATTCTAGCAGCAAAAACGAACATGTTTTTCTCCCTCGTTTGTAGCGTCGTGCTCATGGCCCTGGTTTCATGGCCTCTGCAGAGAGTGGGGCCGAGGGTGGGCATCTCACTGCCCCTGTGTTCACACAGATGTAGGTCAGCTGCCTTTCCTGGTCTGGCTCGCAAGCGCTCCAGTCTTTCAGGTGTTGGCTGCGCAACTTAGAAAGTGATGGAGAAAAAAACAGGAAAACCACACACACCGTGAATAAATGCATCTGAGCATGCGTGCATGTGAATCGATCTATCCCAGATCCTGAGCTTACTGAGTTTGGAAAAGGAGGCCAAGGGCACACAAGACCCTGTCCTCTTCTGTGAGCCCTGCGAAAAACTTAGAATGTGTAGTGGCTTTAAGAGCACAGCCCTAAGGGTGCCTTTTTTCAGCCAGTGTGGCTTGCAGCTCCATGAAACAAGGGCATAGAGTTCGGACCCCACTTAGAGAAGGACTTTGAGCAGTACATCAGCCGCAGGGTCCTCTAGCTAAGCACAGGTTTGCCTTCATGACCAGCCCCGAGTATGTGGGAAAGATAGCAGCAGACCCAGCTCTTAGCACCACAGGAGCTCTGTAGAATTCGAGGGACCTGAAGCCATGAGCCAGGTCTATGCAGAGCCAGCCCAAATGGAACAGCATGCACTAGGATCTGTGTTCCATCTTCAGCACACACACACACACGCACATGCACACGCACACACGCACACACAAAACCAAGAGTTCCTCTGAAGGCCAAGGGGCTGAGGAAGCCCTGTCCAGCTCACAGGAGGGGGACATCTATGGTGGTGGTGGGGAACAGCATATCTCTGCTCCTTTTCTAGGGTGACCCAGGCCTGCCTGGCCTTCCTGGGAAGGATGGTCCCCCAGGCTTACGTGGCTTTCCTGGGGACCGAGGGCTCCCTGGCCCAGTGGTAAGTGAGGAGCCATGCACAGGGACCATGGGGGTCAGTGCCTGGCCTGGGGTTTTGCCTGCGGTGCCCTCCACCACATCTGACTATTTTTCAGGGAGCCCTTGGACTAAAAGGCAACGAAGGTCCCCCTGGACCCCCGGGCCCCGCGGTGAGTCCAGACCTTTCCCCTCAACCTCTTCCAAAGCCTGCCCTTCGATAAGCTGGGGTCCTTTCGAAGCACAAGAGCATGTGCAGGAGGCAGGGCAGGGTAGGGTTGAAGGCCCCCACCCAGCAGCAGGGATGTAGAGGATTCTGGGGCACATGTGTGTGGGGAAGCAGAGTGGAAGGCAGTGAGGTGGCACCATCTCACATGCCAGGCACCCTCCCTGGGGAGCAGAGACGAGGCTCCCCCAGGCCCAAGGAGATGGCCTTGGGGGTTTTGGGGATGTGTCCTCCAAGTCACACACCTCTTCCCCAGGAAAGACTGCACTGCGGGAAGCATAATAGGCAGTGAGCGCTCATAGGCAGGCAGACCCCAAGGGGAAGGTGGGTGTCAGGCCCCTGGGGAGACCAGTGAAGACAGGTGTGTGAGGAGGCTCTGTTTCCCAGTGCTGGGGTGAGATGGGGATACGAGAGGATCACTTAGGAAGGGCCACAACAGGAGCCTGAGTGCTAGACTGCACGGCTCTAAGGAGCCATTGAGGGCTCCCGTGAGAGGGGCTGTGTGGTGTGTTATGATGACCCATGCTTGTGGGAAGTTAGCCCTGCAGCTGGAGAGCCCTGGAGCCTGAATACTGTTTTGCTTTCCATGCAGGGATCTCCAGGAGAGAGAGGTCCTGCTGGTGCTGCTGGGCCCATTGGCATTCCAGGGCGACCCGGGCCTCAGGGACCACCAGGGCCAGCTGGAGAGAAAGGTGCTCCAGTAAGTAGGCACCAGGGTGGGGTGCCCTCTTGGGGGAGGTTCTGGGGTCCCTTTGGTGTTCAGTGGGCATTTCCAGGGCTCAGACTGACTGACCCCAGGCCAGGCAGTGATGACTAAACATCCCAACTCGGGCCCAGCCTGCCACACCTGCACAGTGGGTCCTGACTCACTGGTCCCCGCCCAGCCATGAGTGTGAATGGGCTGCCTAGTGTGACCTCCCTCCCTGCAGCCCCTCACACTGGTCCTTTGGGGCCGAGGTGATGCTGGCAAGGCGGCCTCAGCCTGTTGATGTGGGCACAGGCGCAGCGAGGGAGGGAGACAGGGTCAGGGCCTCTGAGCCCTGAGAGGAGGCGTGGCCACACGGTCCCCCCACTACCCAAGACCCCGTGAATCCCCGCATGTGCCCTCCCTCCTGGATGTGTCCCCAAAAGCAAATGCGAGCATCTCCCTGAGTCACCCTCAAGCCCAGGCCGCTGTCCAAAGCAGTGCCTGCCCCATCACAGCTGATCCTGACCACACCGACCCAGCCTCACCTGACCCACCCAGGCCGACCTGGACGTTTCTGGCTTCCACCGCACAGTTTCCGAACCTCCCCCCAGTGCTGCCTTTGCAGAGCTGCAAAACCCACTTCCACTCAGGCGCTTCCCCAGCTCAGGTGTCAGCGGGGCTGCCCTTGGGCCAGGCCAGTGGCACCGCAGCGGCTCTGAGTCAGGCAGGTGCTAGCTGTGTGCGCCAGTGCGGCGTCACTTCCTGTGTGTTGAGCGCTCAATGGCTCACTGCTGAACAGACAACCAGTTTCAGGGGCCAAGGGTTTAGCTCAGTGGCATAAGCCCCTGCCAGGCAAGCATGAAGTCCTGAGTTCGATTCCTAGTACCAAAAAAAGAAAAAGGAAAACAACCAGTTCCTTCCCCAAGGAGCAGGTCCCTCTTGGGGACATCCCTGCCCCTGAGACTCCCTCTCCAGGCGCTAGGTGATTGCAGTCGCATTGACCCCTTTTCCAACAAGGCACCCAGGCACAAATTCAGCTGGGTTCTGTGCCTCAGAAACCAGAACCCTTGAGTGCTCAATACACCTGGAAACAGCCAGCTGGGTTGGAGTCTGGTTCCTCGTTTGAAGCCAGTAAATATTTAAGCAGAAACCGTGCAAGAGCTGTGCTATTTAGAAGAGTTGCAGGAGGATGGAAAGGTCAGGGTGGGCCAGGGCTTGCCCAGAACCCCTGACCTGACTGTCATGTGGGCTGGAAATTTGCCTGGCAGCCCTGGCAGTTTCTGGCTTCCTTAGGGCCGACATTTCTATCAATAGGAGTGGAGTTTGAGGTGTGGGGAGTAAATTATGCAGGCAGACACAGGTTGGGCAGGGTGCTGGTGCCTGACCCAGTGCTGGCCACATCTAGAGCAGATGCTTAATGCGCATCCTGCCCCTGTGCAGCACTGTCCCTCCGTGTGTCAGGAAGGGGTGGCTGGCAGGGGTACATTGTGTCTGTGCTTGTGTGTGCGTGCATCTGTGCGTGTGTTCTGCATGTGTGCTTGGGTATGTATTATCTGAGTACATATCTGTGCACATCCTGTGCCTGTTCACGGTGTGGTGCTTGTGCTTATAGGCATTCCTATGTGTCCAGGTGTGTGTGGTTAAGGGCACACGTGAGTGTGTGTGTCCAGGCATGCATCTGTGTGCTCATATGTGCATTCATGTGTGTGCACATATATAGGTGTGTTTGACCAGGCAGGGTGTTCGCAGAGCATAGGAATGAAGCTGGTGTGGCTGGAGCTCAGGTCAACCCTGTCACCCTGCTGGGCTGCATGGCCCCACTGCCAGGCCAGAATACAGAGGCCAAATTGGCGGCCTGGCTATACTGCTTACTGACCGTGCCTCGGTTTCCTCCCGAGTGAGAAGTAGCCCTTGCTAATGTGTGTGGGTTAAACGTAGTGGAGCATGCGCCCTTCCCAAGCCTGGGCAGAGTTGGCCCTCAGTGCGCCAGGCTGATGCCCAGCTCCCTGCCCACAGCCCCTCTCTAAGTGGTGAGACGCTGCTGGGATGTTCCCACGAAGCCTCAGCTGACCAAGGCTTTTCTGTGCTCTCTAGGGTGAGAAAGGCCCACAAGGCCCAGCTGGCCGAGATGGGCTTCAGGGTCCTGTGGGGCTTCCAGGTCCAGCTGGCCCTGTGGGTCCCCCTGGAGAAGACGGAGATAAGGTATGGAGACAGTGGGGCTGGCAGCAGGCGAGAGGGGCGGGGAGCCTTAAACAGCAGGACACACACAGATATGGGGCCTTGGGTGCCCAGGACTCTACACTGGCATCCTAGTGCCCAGCGGTGGGGAAATAAATAGCAGTGAGCCAGGTCCCTGGCCTGCCTCAGAGAGCTTGGTGACCACACTGCTCTCATGTGCGCCTGGTGGTGCCCAGGACTGTGCTGTGAGCCACTAGAGAAAAGAACCACGCTCTCTGCCCCTTCCTCAGTCACTTCAAATTCTGCTCCTGCCGAGCTGGGTTTAATGAGATTATACTCACTATGTTTTTAAACATCTACTCTCCAATCACCACGGCTGTTTCATTAGTGCACTTTATAAGCCGTGCTATTACCGCCAAGCTTGTGTCCATTTAATGAAGACAACCAGACTTAGCTCTCAGGCTTAACTTTCCCCGACAACTCTCTGGTATCCTCTCTGACTGGGTCACCGCTCCAGGGGGAGGGACAGCCCCTTCCCAACAGATAACTGGAGGAGGTTTTAACACCTACCTGGGGATCAGGATCGATGTGAGCTCCATGGCAGAGAGCAGTGGACGTTTTCAGCCCGGCGTCCCCACCTGTCTTGCCCGTGAACGTCCTGTACACCTCTGGTCCGCTCTTGGGGCTTTGTAACCCCGAGATCCAAAAGGAAATGGAATGAATAGATGGAAACATTTCTGCCTAGGGAAATCATAGTGTTCTTCAGAGCAGGCTGTTAGTTTGTCTCCAAGTTGTGGAGAATGCCAAGGACTCACAGTAACTGAGTACCTCACAGTACCCTTCTTCTGTGCCCCCAGGGAGAGATCGGGGAGCCGGGGCAGAAAGGAAGCAAGGGAGACAAAGGCGAGCAGGTAAGAGCTGTGCAGGGGCCAGCGCTGTGGTCAGCGTGGCAGGGACTGGCCTCCCTGCTGTGTCTAATATAGCCCTGTGTGCGTGTGTGTATGCATGCGCCTGAGTCACGCATTTGGGGACTGCTACCCCAAGTGTCACCGCTCGGGGACTTTGCTGTATCTGTAACTTGGGAAGCAACCTGTGTCCGTTTGTTCCTGCAGGGTCCCCCTGGCCCCACGGGTCCTCAAGGCCCTATTGGACAGCCAGGCCCCTCCGTAAGTATCTCTGTCTGGTGACCCCAGCAAGACCCAGTCCCCTAGCTGCCGCTGAGCTCACCCCTGTTCAATTCTGTCCCCACAGGGTGCAGATGGGGAGCCCGGCCCCCGTGGGCAGCAAGGCCTCTTCGGGCAGAAAGGAGACGAAGGTTCAAGAGGTTTCCCTGGGCCACCGGGGCCAGTGGGGCTCCAGGTAACTGCAAGGGTGTTCGCATGTCAGGGGGCTGCTGCAGAGGCACCCATGGTTTGCTGGGCCAGCTACACTTGTCTCGTAAGAGTGGGGAAACAGGCAGCATGGCCAGGATCGCAAGAGGTGGCTGCACTGGGGTCCAGACCCACGCATGCCTCCTAAAAATGAGCAATGTGGTCAGTTGTCAGGAAAGGAGGCAAATGGCCACCTCTGACACATCACCTGGTCAAGACCGCTGTCCATGCTGTATGCTCTCTCTGTCCTGGTTAAGCATACACCTTCTCCCAGGTGTGTGGGTGATTGTGTTTGGTGTTTGCAAAATCCAAATCCTGTCCCACACTGGACAGAACCTTGGTTCCTGATCTTCCCCTCCCCTCCCCTTCCCCTCCCCTCCCCTTCCCCTCCCCTCCCCCCCTCTCCTCCCCTCTCCCCCTCCCCTCCCCTTCCCTTCCACCAGGCACAAGGCACAGGCGCATTGGATGTCATTAGGTATTCCAGTGACTTTATTTATTTTGGAAGACACGATCTTCAGTCACTGCGTAGCGTTTCGGCACATGGCGGAGACATAACTTACCCAGACGTCTCCCAGCTGCTGGCTCATTAGGTTTATTGTTTTATGGGGGACTGCCATAAACCCCATTGTTCATAAATCTTTGCATGCTTCTCTAATTATTTCTTCCGCTAATTCTGAGCCTAGGATTGATTCCTGACTCGTGGATGCTCATTAGGGTCTCTGCGGCATCTTGCGGGGGGGTTGAGGTGACCGTGTGTGGGGGTGCCTAACTGCTCTCCTGTTTGCAGGGCCTGCCAGGACCTGCGGGTGAAAAGGGCGAGACAGGAGATGTGGGCCAGATGGTAAGTGTGGCCAGGCCAAAGACCCAGCTTTGGCTGCTGGTTGGTATGTTGAGGGAATTTGCCTTTACCCTGGGCTCATGGCCTCTCCTCCTAGGGCCCACCCGGTCCCCCTGGCCCCCGAGGACCTTCTGGACCTCCAGGTGCTGATGGGCCTCAAGGTCCTCCGGGTGGAATTGGAAACCCTGGAGCCGTGGGCGAGAAGGTGAGGCTTCCCCCATGACTCCACCGGTGTGTGCCTATGCAGAGAATGGCTATGTGTGTGTGCACATGTGTGTACATGTGTGTGTCCTGGGCATGGCCAGAGTGCCTCTGTGGAGGGAAGGAGGACACATCTGGGCTGTTGGGTTCCCTGCAATTGTGGGCTCTGACACTGATGGGATCTGCTAGACTCTCAGGTGGGGAACTAGAGAGAAACCTGCAGGGTGGGGGCCTCAGCCCTGCACCCCCATCCTGATCACCTGTGGCCCTTCATTCACTGCCCCTTCCCCCCTGTCCAGAGCCTATGCTCCCCAAGGATACCATCAGTTCCCCTGCTAGTAATCTGTGCCCATCACCAAGCTTGTCATGCACCCGCAGGACAGCGTCCCTTCGCCAGTGTCCCTTCCCACCTGGAACCCCCTCCCTCTGTGCCCTGGCCCCTTCCTTGTGGTCATGCCTTGAAGCCCCAGAAATTATCCAGAGACAGTGGCCACCTCCCCACACCAGGTCCCCATTGACCGAAGGCTGTGGATGGATGTGGCAGTCCTGGCAGCTGGAGCAGCTGTCTCTGTCCCTGTCCCTGTGGTGGCCTCCTGGTGACACCAGCCTTGTTTTCCTAGGGGGAGCCTGGTGAAGCTGGTGAGCCTGGCCTTCCAGGAGAAGGGGGCCCTCCGGTGAGTATGTAGGCTCTGGGAGGTGGGCAGGGGCCCAGCAGGGCACTGGTGTGGCTGACCAGAGCTGACCAGAGTGATACTGGTCCTCCGGGGTGACAGCTCCCGGAGACAATTCCACCCGGAGTGACAGCTCAGTGTCCCCTGCTGTGAAGCAGACGCTGTAACACCACTGTGCTGATCGAGGCCACAGAAGTGTGGTCAGAGGAAAATGTATAACTGGGGCCAATCGCACATGCACACCCAGGGCCTCTCGCGGCTCTCATGGCATGAGGGTGACTCGTGTGCCCAGGGCAGAGTGGAGCCTCGCCACACAAGACCCCAGAAAGCCAGGGGTTCCTTGCCTGGAAGGTTCTGCATGGATGGGTGGCCGCAGGAAGTGAGACTGGCGTCTCCCTGGCCCTCACTGTCCCTGTGGGCTCGGCTGGTGCTGGGTAGGGGCTGTCCATAGGAGGGGGAGCCCCGCAAGTATCCCTTAAGCAAGAGTGTGGAAGCTCTGAGACCTGACCTTGCCTCTTCCTCTCTAGGGACCCAAAGGAGAAAGAGGAGAGAAGGGCGAGGCTGGTCCCTCAGGTGCTGCTGGACCCCCTGGACCCAAAGGCCCCCCCGGAGATGATGGCCCCAAGGGCAGCCCTGTGAGTAATGCCAAGAATCTTGGGGTCCCTGTATCCCAGGTCATTCCTACTAGGTAGTGGCTGTGCAGCCCACTGGGTGTATGCTGGGTGCTTTCCTAGGCTCTAGGGATTTCCATGGCAACTCTGGACCAAGCTAGAGGAGGTGCAGGAGAGGAGGTGGGGAGCAGCCTTGAGAACTGGTCCTCATGCTTGCAAGGGCAGGGGCCAGGCCACGGTTCTCTCTGGCCTGCCTGGGCTCTGCAGCAGGGGTTTCTTAGAGACCCCCACCCTTTGGAAGGCTGGGGCACAGGCCACAGCTACAGCTGGGGCTTCTGGGATGAAGGTGTGGGCAGGATGTGCAGGGAAGGGTTTCCTGGTGGAAGGGGCCTGGCGTGGGAACTGCCCTTGTCCAGGGTCAGGTGGTGGCAGGTGTTGTCTCAGGCAGTGCTGGGCTGGACAGGGTGTAGTCACACTGCTCACAGCCCAGACCTGTCCCTCTCTCTGCTTTTCAGGGCCCAGTGGGTTTTCCTGGTGATCCTGGCCCCCCTGGAGAGCCCGGACCTGCAGTAAGTGCTTGAGAAGGCCACCTGCCCCCCATCCCACTGCCCCTGCTCCCTGTTGCTGGCCCTGTATCTTTTCTCTTCCTGCTGATTTCTTTTGGATGAGTTGAGTTCTGGGTGCAGTGCTCTTTCCCCCACCATGTACCCCATGTGTGGGCTCAGTGCCTGCACCAGACTGGGGTGAACCAGGGTCCTGTCTGGGAGGCAGGAAGGAACTTGTTCTGTTGCCCCCAGGGTCAAGATGGTCCCCCTGGTGACAAAGGAGATGATGGTGAACCTGGACAGACGGTGAGTCCCTATGTGACACCCTCCCTGGGGAGCATCTGTGCATCTTGGGGTTTTGCAGTTGGCTTGGTTCCCTTTCCATGGTGACTCCTGCTGGCAGGGGCCCATGGGTGCTGATGAAAGCTGTGGACAGAAAGAAGGCGTGTGCAGTGCCATGCTTTGCATGTGGCTCTAGAGGCTTGCCTTCTGACTCCCAAAGCTCTCCTGTGTCAGGACTGGCCCACGTGGCGGCCCCAGTGGGTCTCAGGCCCTGCCTTGGGACGGTGAGCCTAGCACCTCATCTTCCGCTCAATGCGGACATTGCCCCATCCCGGGGGCCCTGGGGCAGCACTCTGCTTGAAAGCAACCCCCGACTCTTGGGGTCTCCCTGCCCCACATCCAGATTTTGGGGGAAGTTACTGACCATCTTAGTCTTTTTTCTGCTGCTACAAAAGGCCACAGGTGGTGTGAATTCCAGGCAGTAGAAGTTCTCATGGTCCATGTCCGTGGAGGCCGGAAAGCCCAAGGTTGAGGGGCTGTAATGTGACAGAGGGCAAGGGGTGAGGGAGGAACGTGAGCCAGGTCCTCCTGTGTCCCTCTCACCCCTTCGATAATGGCCTTGGTCAACTCTTTGCATCCAGCCTTCCCTCATCCGTCTCTGCTGATCCCAGCCTGAGTGCTGGGGGCATTCAGACCAAAGCAGGGGTCCCAGGCCTTAAGCCCTGTGCCACTCCCAGAATGCACCTGGATACCAACTGAGGGCCCGGAACAACAGTCCCGGGCCCAGAGTCCCTGGTGGCCGTTCCTGGTTCCCCACTGCCTGGCCTGCACCCTTGGTGTGGCACCAGTTCTCAGCTCTGTCGCTGGAGATGCTAAGGACAGCTCCCTTGCAGGGTCCCGGGGGATGGACCCAGTTATTGTGTAGAGGAGCAGGGTCATGTGAGAAGCGAGTTCTCTGAAACAAAGGTGCCCCATGCGGGAGGTGACCCGGGTTCCCGGCCAGGCCATTGCCTGGCACCGAGTGGTAGCCCCAAGACCTTATGCAGGACTGGCCGGGACACTCCGAGAGCGGCCAGGCGAGCTGGAGACCGAGCTGAGCCTCTGTGTCTCATCAACAAATCTCCATCCTACAGACTCTGCAAATGGCTAACTGTTCTTTCTCCACCCCAGGGATCCCCAGGCCCCACTGGTGAGCCTGGGCCATCCGGGCCCCCGGGAAAAAGGGTGAGTTGCCTTGTGCCTCTTGCTGGCCCTGGCTGCCCCCCACTTCTGGGGGAGGAGATGCTGTGTTGGGCTGGGTGCTCCCCTGGCTGCCTACCTTGTCACCAGTCCCGGGCCTGTGAGTCCCACCAGAGAATAAGACCCCTGGAGCAAAGAATCTCCTTCCCAGGCCAGACCCTCCTGAAGAATCAGAGGCAAGGGCAGGGGCCTTGTGCCCCGAATCCTCCGGTCTTTTGCTGGAGTTTCCCCAGAGGGAGCCCTTGGCCCCTGCCAGAAGGGGCAGCACCCAGCACTCAGGGTGGCCAACGCATTTCCCACGCTGACTCAGAGCCTGGCCAGTGACCAGGGTCCTGGATTTGCGGCGCTCCAAGGTCTCCGTCTGCATTGGCCAGTTCCCAGGAGACCATTTGCCCACTGCCCCTCCTGCACCCCCAACTCTGTCCCAACCACTTCCTGGGTTCTCCATGCTTACCGCCTGGGCTCTCCTTTGATCCAGGGTCCCCCAGGCCCCGCAGGACCTGAAGGCAGACAGGGAGAGAAAGGCGCCAAGGTGAGCACTCGTTGGTGGGCCATGGGCATACAGGAACCGCTGGCGGATATGGGTTGGTGGGAGTGGGCTGAGCCCTTGGCACGGGGGCTGTGATATGGGAAACAGGTTCCTCATCACTGCCAGCAAGGACACAGTGGGGGCTGAGAGGCCGGGCAGCAGGGGCCTGGGCTAGGTGGGCATGGTGGGCAGGATCAGATTAGTGGGTGGAGGGTTGGCGGAGGCAGCATGTGACGGAGGGCGGATGCCAGGGCAGCTTGGGCATCTGGGGCATGTCGGCAGGGGTCCTGTCTGGGCCAGGTGCCTGGAGCCCCCAAACGTGGTCCACCCTCTGCAGGGAGAAGCCGGTTTGGAAGGCCCTCCTGGGAAGACTGGCCCCATCGGCCCACAGGGGGCCCCCGGGAAACCTGGGCCAGATGGCCTGCGTGGGATCCCCGGCCCTGTGGTGAGGGGCCCAGGCAGGCCTGGGAAGGGGCAGTGGGCTGGTGGCAGGGCCAATGAGTGTGGGCTCACGCCGAGTGAGGGTCTCTGTGTTTCAGGGCGAGCAGGGTCTCCCCGGATCCCCAGGCCCAGATGGGCCACCCGGCCCCATGGTGAGTGATGCCTCTGGGGCTTTGTGAGGGGCGAGTGGCACCAGGAACCCCTGGACTCTGTCTTTGATCCCTCTAAATCCTCCTGCAGGGACCCCCAGGACTCCCTGGCCTCAAAGGAGATTCTGGACCCAAAGGTGAAAAGGTGAGTGGGGCCCTTGGCCTTTGACCCAAGCTCGATCTGGCGATCTGTGGCCCAAAGAACCCATAGCACCCAGGACTTCCTGCAGGGCAGGGCCATGGAGATTGAGGAGTGGATGTTTACTCTGGACCCGGGGCCATGTCCCACCCGGGCTGCGCTGGAGCTCCGTGGCAGCAAAGCCTTGCTTTCTATTAATCTATGAATTGCCCTGGTTTTACTGATTCTCTTGCACACCTCAGATGAGCTGGAAGCTGAGGCTGGAGGGGCCATGAGGCCTCGATGTCCTCCAAGCTGGGACCTCAACAGCTCCACCCGGCCCAGCACAGCAGAGGCTGGGGATTCCCTGGGGGCCTCCTGGGGGCTCCTATGGAACCAACACCCGAAGTGCGCCAGTGGGGTTTTCCTGGTGAAGACAGAACGGGCAATCACCACAGTATCAATGCACTGCAGCTGCCGCCCAGCGTCGGTGCCCTCACACCTGCCTTTCCCAACAGGGTCACCCAGGCCTGATCGGACTCATCGGCCCACCCGGGGAGCAGGGCGAAAAGGGCGACCGAGGTCTCCCCGGCCCACAAGGTTCATCTGGCCCAAAAGGAGAGCAGGTGTGTCAGCTGGCGCTGCCCAGCGAGCTTCTCTTCCTCCACAGCACCCAGGAGTATAGATGGGAATGGCTGGGGACTTGGGCTGGCCGAGGTGCCCCCAGAGGCCGCATCCGTCCCTCTTCCGCACCGCAGAACAGAGCCTGTGTCCCAGCTCAGTGCTCAGGAGTCTCAGGCAGCTGGCAGTTGTGCCTGCCTGTGTCTCAGGGCAGAGCTGTGACCCCCCTGTGCCCTGCATTCCCTGGCCTGAGGCCCACACAGACCCCATGCTGGCGGCTGCTTGGGGATGACAGTGTCATCCTGCAACTTCAGGTTGCTGGGACATGGCTCCAGGAGGGCGGGGTGGAGGGGAGCCAGGGGCCTGGGAAGGGATGGTGTGTAGCAGGGGAGACACGTGTGCCTCCATGCTCCCCTGGATGGGGTGAGGGTGCCCACCCCACTGTGGCAGTGTCCCCTTCCTGGGCACTCTGGCTCCAGAGAGGACAGACTGGGACAGAGCAGGGGGCTCCAGGAGCTCTGAGGGCTGGGGGTGCATAGAGCCCACACCCTGATGCCACGCCTGGGACCAGTTGGCTCTGTACCTCATGGCTCAGTGACCACAAGAATTAGACACCAAGGGTCCCCACTGCCGAAAAGAAACTCGCATGTATACATACACCTATCCTCACTCGGGGCCAGCTCCAAACTGCCATCTTCTACGTTGCTGGTAGAAGATGCCCAGGCTAGAGGGTCATGGGATTTGTAAAGTGACCAATGTCCTGGTCTCTGTGCTGTTTCCGGGTGAGGTTGAGTTACCAGCTTTCATGCCCTGGGTCATAGCTGTGCCCCAGCAGGAAGTGTTGGGGGCCCCAGGATGCCCGGTGGTCATTGCAAGCTGAGGCATTTTGCATCAGCCAGGCATGGACTCAGAGGGAAGGGCTGGGGCCGGACACACAGGGCACACTCAGAGGCTGGAGGAGACAGGGCAGCCAGGTGTCAGGCCACTTGCTCCCTCACCCTGGACTTGTGCTGTGGGAGACCAATACCAGGAGCAAACAACATGGGGCCCAAGCCAGGACGGGAGGTCAGGGTGACCAATTTCCTAGCAGAACGGAAAGAGAGGTCTGCGTTCACTGCCCCCTCCCCAGGCTCTCAAAGTGCTGGAGACACCCCCAGTCTGCATGGGATGAAGGCGCCTGGGGACAGATGTTCAGGCCACTCCAGAGGCCTTGAGAGGGACGTGGGGATGCGACTGGCCAGGCACAGGGGGGTCACCTTCCTCTTCCTCCCTCTTCAGGGTGCTTACCTCTGCTTTCTGCTCCTTTACAGGGTATCACTGGTCCTTCTGGCCCGATCGGGCCCCCAGGGCCCCCTGGCTTGCCGGTGTGTATCTGGAAGTGGGTGGCAGGAGAATCACAGCTGAGACTCACAGGGTGGGCCTGGATTGGTTTGGGCTCCCAGTCACAGATGCAAGGAGGAGTATTGGAGCCCTGGTTTGGGTGGGAGAGGCCGGAAAGGGCCCATGAGACGCTTATGGGGATGCATGAGCAGGGTCACAACCTCCTGGCACCCCAGACTGGCCCTTCCTGTGCTCTGGGGACCCAGTGTCCCAAGGGTGAGCCTCTACTCAGCCCATCTCCATGTCTAGCGGCAGCCCTGCACAGCACCAGATGGCCCTGGGCTGCTGTCCCCATTGTGTGGGACAGGGGAGCGGGCTGAGGGTGGGGCGGGGGAGGCGGGCTGCACCGCTGATGTTCTGATCTCTGTTCCCTGCAGGGTCCACCAGGTCCTAAAGGTGCTAAAGGCTCCTCGGTAAGTGATGCTGGCTAGAGCGGTGGGTAGGACGGTGTCCCCTGAGGTGAGGGTACCCCAGCCCGCCCAGAGTGTGGTGGTCCTGCCTGGCTTCCCTGGCTTTCTCTCTCCTTCTTCCTTTTTATTGTTGATGTTCTTTATTGTTATATATATACATATACATATATATATATGTTTTGGGAGCTTTTTGGTCTTTTAGAGGCAGGGTTTCACTATATGGTTCAGGCTGGCCTTGAACTCACTTTGTAGCCCAGGCTGGCCTTGGACTCGTAGCAGTCTTCTTGTCTCAGCCTCCTGAGTGCTGGAAAGGCAGGCGTGCGGCACCACCCCCAGCTGACTTTATATAATTTTTGAAAAACAAAAATGATACTGTTCTGCTTGCTGGTTTTAAAAATTACTTTAACTGTACAGATTTATGGGGGAAACATGGTACTCTGACTTGCATCTATGGTGTGTAACGGTCAAATCAGGTAGTTAGCATTTCTGTCTCAATTTTTTTTACATTTTTGATTAATGTGCAATAATCGTATGCATTTCTGGGACATAGGGCGCTATTTCAGCACAAGGCTGTGGAGTCCCCTGACAAGTCTGGGGCCCTCCTCTGTACACCGCCCTGTGGTTACCGCTGCTGTGAGTCAGTCTAGCCTTCACTGCTGGGCTTTCAGAGCACACAGTGGGTAGCTGCGGACTTGAGAGCTCAGCCCACTGCCCCAGTTTCTCTCTTTCCGCCCTGCCCAGCCCCTGGCCACCAGCACCTCCTGACCACCCCAATGTGTGCTCTCTTAACCTGCACACACATGGGGGAACAGGTGCTATGTGACTTTTTTCACTGTGCACAGCACCCCTCTGTCCCACCTGGCTCCACGCAAGCGGCAGGTCCTGCTCTGTGTACTCGGCGTGTATGCCGCCCGGTTCCCTTCACCCACGCACATACAGATGGGAGTCTATGCGGGCTCCGTGTCCTGGCTGCCGGGCACAGCAGGACTAATGAAGCCAGGCGCTTTCTTACACACCTGATGCACCTTTGCACTTCTTTTGAGAAACATCCTCTGTGCCGCCCCAGTCACCTCAAAGAGGGACATCCAGGCTGCAGCTCTCTGCCCTAGAGGATGCCACTTCTCAGTTCCCCCAGCCTTCTGGGAGATAAAGAGGCCCTGCTGCACCCCTCCCCCACCATTGCGAGCTCCAGGCCCAATCTGGGGCTAAGGGGGATCTCTCTTCCCCATGGTAACCAACTGCTGCCTCTCTCCACAGGGTCCCACCGGCCCGAAGGGTGAGGCAGGCCAGCCAGGACCCCCCGGTCTACCCGTGAGTAGCCATGGAAACTGAGGAAGGGATGGGAGGATCCAGGGGGCACCTGTGGATAGGGCTCACTCTCCAAAAATTGTCACATGCATGTGGCCTGACTGAGGTGCTGTCCCTGAGCAGAGTCCCCAGGCCCATTCACACTGGCCTCTCAGGCTGACCTTTCCCAGGAATCATAGCTGGGAAGGAGATGGATAGAACATGTGCACGAGTGTGTGTGCATGTGTGTCTGCCGCATGTGTGTGTACATGAAGATGTGTGAGTGCGTGTATTTGTATGAGTATGCATGCATGCGTGCGTATTTGTGTGTTTGCTTGTCTGTGTGTTTCAGACACAGACATTTGTGTGTGCATGCATATGTGTGTGCATGTATCTATACCTATTTGCATATATGTTTATGTGCAAATGTGTATATGTGTGTGTGTGTGTACCACACACACATATGTGCATGTATGTGTGTGTACATGGGTGTTGGAGGTGGAAGCAGTAGCTAAGTCCCAAGGTGCAGGATGATGGTAAGCTGGGGTGCAGTGAGCACCCCCTAGGATACCCCCGTGGTCTTGCAACTTCTGGAACCCTCCTTGCTGCTATGGAGCATCTGGGAGAGAGCCCCATCTTGTGTCAGAAGCATTTGTGTAGCTCCACTGGGTTCAGCCCCAGCTGAGCGGCAGAGTCCAGAGGAGGGCTGTGGTCATCCCCCAAGGCGTAGTCTTTGGCCCAGCTAAGGCCAGAAGGATGGACGAGGTATAGGGAAGGCCTCCAGCTGTGGCCTGTCCCACCCACCGCTGCCCCTCCCGCACCCAGGGCCCTCCTGGCGAGGTCATCCAGCCCCTGCCTATCCAGGCCTCGCGCACACGGAGAAACATCGACGCCAGCCAGCTGCTGGATGATGCGGCAGGTGAGAGCTACATGGACTATGCAGACGGTATGGAGGAGATCTTTGGCTCACTCAACTCACTGAAGCTGGAGATTGAGCAGATGAAGCGGCCACTGGGCACGCAGCAGAACCCTGCGCGTACCTGCAAGGACCTGCAGCTCTGCCACCCCGACTTCCCCGATGGTGAGGAATGTGGCCACCCACACTGTGCTGGGGCTGGGTGGGCAGTGCGGCCCCTTTCCTCCACTGCCCCATGGGCGGGGGGGTGCACGGACTGTCCCCAGGACCCATGGAGGTATAGCAGCACATGGTCAGAGGAGGCCAGTAGAGAGGCCAGCTTTGAGGCCAAGCAGACCTGGTCTCACCTTAGCCGTGCCTGCCTGGTCCCTGCCCCTGACCGGTGAGATAGGAACGGGAGCTGCCGTGGAGGGAGGGTGGAGGCAAAGGGATGGGATGTAAAATGCCCTTAGCCTGGCACTTGGGCAGCCCGGTGAGGGCCATGTCAGGTTCCACGTTGGATGCTTTAGATGCTGAACCACCACATGGTGCGCTCAGACCGGCTGTCCCAGTGCTCCAGCCAGACTCCTGGGGAACAAAATCGCATTACAGCACAGCCACCTGCACACTCGCCTGCACACCCTCATACCCCCAGCCACATGAGCAGATCTCCAGTTCAGCGCTGGGGCTGGGAAGGCCACTGCTGTGCTTAGGTGCCACTGCTTGAGACCCCTGTGAATCCCAGTTCAGCTCATTCCCACAAATTCTTTACTCAGTAAGCTCGAAGACCACATGGGGTGCTCAGAAGCCTCAAGCAAATCCGGGGGTAGAAGCTGCCCTGGAAATTCAGGCAGGGATGGATGTTTAGCTCAGGGGCACAAGCACCTGCCTGGCTTGTCGTGATTCTAGTGGACCTGGACCCCAGATGCATGGGCTTCCGTCCCCACCCTGCCCTGATCCCCAGACTCCATCCCAGCTGCTCCAGGCCGTGGCTGTGTTTATGGGTCTGTCCGTACCCCTTACCCCCGATGGGCCCTGCTGGTCTCCAGCTCTGAGCCAGCTGGGATTGGTGTCTCACCAGCCCCCTGCCTCTGCCACACAGGTGAATACTGGGTGGACCCCAACCAGGGCTGCTCCCGGGACTCCTTCAAAGTTTTCTGCAACTTCACGGCCGGAGGGGCAACCTGTGTCTTCCCCGACAAGAAGTCTGAGGGGGTGAGTATCCTTGGAATCTCCGCCTCCAATAGGCCCAGGCCAGCGCCTGTGTCTCCTATGTCCACAGCTTTGATCAAGGCTGAAAGCCAGGCACTGACGATTTTCACCGTGAGAGCCTGCTTTGGTGAAGACGAGCAGAGCTAGGGAGCCCTGGGAACGGGGCCTAGGTTGTGTAGGGGACAATGGCAGTGCTGCTCGATGTCACCGCCAACCTCCCCACCGAGGTCTCCCAGCTCTGGGCCGACGACCTCTCCCTGGAGTGCAGCTCTTCTCCTGGGCTGGGACTGACCCAGAGCCTCCAGAAGGTTAAAGAAGTGACCCAAAGGCACTTCCTGACAGCTGCTGTGAGTCAGAATTCTTTTGCAGGGCGGGGAATCAGATTCACAACCTCGAGCTTGCCAGGCAGGTGCTTGTGCCCCTGAGCTAAATTCTCAGTGCAGCTCCTACCCCAGGATTTGCTCGAGGCTCCTGAGTACCCCATGTGGTCTTTGAGCTTACTGAGTAAAGAATTTGTGGAGGAGCTGGGCTGGGACTCGAAGGGGTCTCAAGCAGTGGTACCTAAGCACAGCATTGGCCTTCCCGGCCCCAGTGCTGAGCTGGGGATCTGCTCACGCAGCCGGGGTGTGAGGGTGTGCAGGTAAGTATGCAGGTGGCCATGTGTGTGGCAAGTGCGTCCCAGGTCAGGGCATGAAAACAGGGTTTCCCTGTCACTATCTGAGAAGTTGACTGAGACTCCAGTTGAAGTGTGCAGGCAAACCCTCTCTCAGCCCAAATACCCCTCACATGTGGCTGGTGACTGTCAGGGCCCTGGCTGTTTCTGGGGGTCACACAGGATCCTGCCTATGGCCAGCATCCAGTTGCAGCATCTTGGTAGCCTATTATCCAAGGGACAGTTTCCCACCAGGGAGAGAGAGAGAGCAGTGCTTTCCTCCTGGGGGTCTGAGTCCCCCTGGCCCCTGAATCACACTGTAAATCCAGTAAGCACCAGAACCTCCTTGGGTCAGAGCAGCTCCTGCACCCAGATCCGTCCCATCCCCAGCCTGACAGTGTCTGCCTTGAAAGCTCTTCTGACTTCAGGCCCAGAGTCTCATCCTTCTGTCCTTCCACCGCTCTGCTCTGCATGCCCAGAACAGAACTCAGCCAGAAAAGACAGTTCTCTCCCTCTGGTCACTGCTCTGCAGGTGGCCCCCTGCAAGAGGATTCTTGGCACAGACCCCTAACCCAGGGCTTTCCTGGGGGGCCATTGCTGGCATTCACAGTACTGAGCCAGGGGTCTAAAGTGCCCCCACCACACACACCTGGCTCCCGGCTCCTCCCGGACCAGCTGGGTGCCTGCAGGCTGGCTCAGGCCCTCAGCCCAGGGTGAATGGAGCTGCTCTCTGGTGGCACTGGGCTTCAGGCCTCCTGGGAGCTTCACAGAGATGGTAAAGCCTGCATGTGTTGCTGCCTGACCTAGGGGGCATCATCCTGACATGAGCCCAGTGTGGCCCTGAAAGTGGCAGATCTGGGATGGGAGGATGGAGGCTCTGGTGGGCATCCAGCTGGCTCCTCTTCCTCCTGACTCTAGGCACCTGCCCAGCTCTGAGGGGGTGGCCCGGCTCAGCAGATGAGGATTCAGACTCTGCCTCCTCCCATGAGCCCCTTGGGCCTGGTTCCCAAACAGAGGTCCCTGTAGGCCCTACCCAGGCCAGTTGGGGCCCAGCGGACCCCAAGGACTCTCACCCCCGCCCCGCCCCTGCAGCGCATGCACAGGGCCCAGCAGGGGAAGAGCCTTGCTCAGATACTGCCCTCTCTGTCCCCAGCATCTCTGAACCCATGCAGCTCACTGCTGCAGAGTGGAACAAGTCCCAGGAGGGACGCGGAGGACAGAGGCTGTCCCTGTGACAGGGAGTCAGCTGGGTCCTTAATTCCAACATGCTTTGTGGGAGGAGCCTTTGCTTCCTTGTCATGTCAGAGCAGCTTTGCTCACACACGCGTGCACACACACACACACGTGTGTGCACACACACATAGAGCAGCTGGAGACCATGGGGCATGCGCCATGCCCCTGGGTAGTGAAGACCAGGTGAGAGGAGTCACACAGCCCTTAGCTTGTCACCTTCATCATGGAGCCCTCGCCAGCACCTGTCCTCACCTCCCGTGGGGCCCTGTTGTGCCTCGGTCACCTGGCCTGGCTCTGGGAGGACCAGGAGCTGTCGTCAGCCCAAGGTGCCCTCTGGTCTTTGTCTCTGGAAAGCAGCGGCACCTTGGCAGGACGCAGGGACCCAGGGGCGTGGTGTCTGGGTGGAGGCCGGGGAAGTAACCCTCTACTTTTCTGTTTCTCTCCCTCCCACCACGCCTGCGCCGTGGGTAGGCCAGGATCACTTCTTGGCCCAAAGAAAACCCGGGTTCCTGGTTCAGTGAATTCAAGCGTGGTAAACTGGTAAGGCGGCCCCTCCTTCCCCTCGTTGTCACTTTAAATGCGCCCGTCTCCTATCTTGCAGAGTAAAATGGCCCGCTGGCCCAAAGAGCGGCCCTCTACCTGGTATAGTCAGTACAAGCGCGGCTCCCTGGTAAGTGGCCGCCCAGCGCTGCCCGCTACGGCTCAGCCTGGCTCTCGGCTCTGCATGGCCCACTCTTCACTGGCACCGGGCCACGCCTGCTCTTGCCCTCCGGCCACACCGCTCCACGATGCGTGACAGCAGGGCTCAGCCAGCATGGGGACCTCCCCTGCGCCCTCCGCCTTGCGGCTGCACTCGGACACAGCAACAGGCCAGGGTGCCATACTGCCCATGCTGGCACTGCCAGCTGCTTGGGCACCAAGGTCCTGGGCAGCACGGGCAGGAGGCCAGCAGCGTCAGCAGCCGGCAGGTGCAGGTGCCTGTCTCAAAGGAGAGGTGTTCTCCAGGCGCCTCCCACTTGTGCCCCGGGTGCTGCTAAGGGGCCAGGCTGAGGCTGCCAGCCCGGCCGCTGTCCTGTGTCTTCTTCCTTGGCTGTGTAGACAGCGCATCCCTCTGGCCGGTGCTGAGACAGGCGTCGGTCTGGGCCTCGTCCTGCTATGCCAATGGCAGTGGCTGCCCATTGTGTTTACCTCCAGCACTGCAGCAATTTGGGCCTCTCCTGGAATAAACCAAGAGGCTCTGTGGTCTCTGCCTGGCATAGGGACAGATTTCACTCTGGGGACAGTTCCAGGACCGCTGCTGAGCTCAGACCCTTCCCCTTTTCCTGCCCCTGAGGGTCCTCGGTCACTGGGGATCACGCTGAATGCCATCAACCCATGGTCACTTTCTCCCAGCCCCCGCATCTGGAGGACGCAGAGGCCAGGTCCCCCCAAGGGTTCAGAGCCGTGGCTCCCAGCTGCTTTTGCCCCCGTCTCTGCCTCTGAAGTCCTCATCCCTTAGCCTCGGGGCTGACCCACCTTGGCGTGAGCCCTCACACAACCCAGCTCCTGCTGTGCACAGCCACCGCCCCGGAGCTCCTCCACTGTCCCTTGCTGTAGACACAGGCATCGGTCCTTGCCTCCTCCCTGCTTGCCCTCCCCTCATCTCCACCTTGTCTGTGCTGCCCTCAAAGCAGAGCCACTGGCACATAGAAGGAACCTGAAGGGCCAGCTCTCGGGAGGACATGGGAAGGGGACATGGGGCCTTAGGGGTCAGGGAAGAAGGAGCCATTGAATGAAGCTGCCCCAGCCAGGGAGGTGGCAGCTGCACTGGGTGGGCCTGCCTCTCCATCATGGTGGCCTGGGCTGCTGGGGTAGCCTCCCTGACTGAAGCCTGGCTTCCTCTATCTGGGGCAGTGAGAGGGCACTGGCCTGTCCAGTCGCCAGCCCACATGGCCGCCCTCACTCGCCCTGTGTCCTGTGTCCCAGGCAGGTGATAGAAGCAGAGGTACACGGGGCCCTGCCTTGGTGCAGGGTGCAGGTGCTCATGTCTGGCTCTTGGAGCATCATAGTGGGTGAGAAATGGACAGAGGCCTCTGCCAGGAGGCCTTGGTCTTGGTCTGAGCTGGCTGCCAGGGCTGGGGTACCACAGTAGTGGGGCCCAGGGCTTCCTGGGGCCCTTTCAACCCAGGGCACGAGCAGGCTTCAGGTCCTTCTGTGTCCAGCCCCCTCCCTGCATGTATCCTCTCTTGAGTCAGTCGCCTTCCCCCCAGGAGCACCGATGGCCCGGATGTTGGTTGGTACTTGGTTTTCTCCACAGGTCTGACCCTAAGGTCCACCGTTGCTGCCAGTGAGGGTGTTGGGTTTGTTTATACCTTGGGGTCCCAGGATGTCCCACTGCACTGGTGTCAGGGAGAGGGGCCCAGGCCTGCTCTCCTTCTTCTGTCCCTCCCTCTGCGCTTTCTAATTTTGCTGACTGAGGTGGTGGCTGAGGGCAATCCCTGCTTGTGCACATGCACCTGCACGCCAGCACTGGACCTAGGGACCCTGAGTGTCTCACGTCCCTTTCAGGGGCCAACAGCAGCGTTGCTGCCTGGGTGACACCTCTGGTGTTGGATACTGGGCTTTCTGTCTCATCCCCCGACACAGGACCCCAGTGGGATGGGCTCGGCTGGCCACCAGCCCTTCCTGGACAAGACCTGAGGCCCAGTTGCATCACTATGGGGTGCAGGGCTCTGGAAAGCATCACAGTTGCAAAAGCTGAGACATACCTCCTGGGATACCTGTGCCAGCCTAGGCCTGGCAGAGCAGAGCAGGCCAGTGCTGGGATCCAGCTGGAGGCATCTTGTCCTTCCCAATGCCACCACTGGCTTTTGGTGGAGAGAGAGGTCTTCTGGGGAGCGTCATGGAGCCAGAGCCCTGGCTGCCCGTGCAGAGTAGTAGAGGTCTGATCCAAAGATGGTCAGCTGCTTGATCCTACCTAGGAAGAGTAGCGGCCACGCTAAAGACAATCCCGGATGCCCCTGTGTCTGTCTGGTGATCCCAGCCAGCCGTCCACGTGGTCCCAGCCCTGTCTTCCTGCCAATTACCCCAGGTGGCCCAGGTCACTCCCCAAAGCTGGCCAGGAGTCACAGAGCTTCCCATGCCTACCTGGTGCCTTCCTCGGCTGGCGCTGGGCACACATGCCCACCGTGTCCTCATAGCTCTCATGGGTCAGCAGAAGCCACACATGAGGCAGCAGGCACCCTTGAGTGTCAACCAGTGCTGGTGTGGAGGGACGTGGGGAGGCTCGGTGCACCCACAAAGGAGGGGTGCACACCAGCTTCTGGGTGGGGGCAGGGGAGCGATGTCCTCCCCAAAAGCAGGCCTGGCACAGAGGGTGGCAGCGTCGGGAGTGCTGCTGGAAAGCAGGCATCATCCACGCCTGGAGAGGGGGCCCCGGGAGCTCAGGGGCCACAGAAGTGGGTAGGGCTGGTGAGCAAGGAGGGCCATGGACACCCAAGGCCCCAGAGAACATCCTCCTGCTCCTCCCTTTTGGGTTCCTGCTGGGAGAAGCTGGGTGTCACTCCCAGCCCCGCTCCTGGCACCCAGACCAGGGTTGCAGGGCCGATGTCTCAGTGCAATGCGAATTTCCAGGGTGGTTGCTTGTGCATTGAACATGTTCTGAGCATTTGGACCTGGTGTGTGGGACAAGTGGCCTCACCTGAGGCTGGCAGATGCCCGGGTGGCAGAAAGGGAGGAGGTTGGCAGGAGGAGTGGCTGCAGGGACACAGGTGGCACAGGCCCAGAAGACTTCAGGCTGTTGCACTGTGAAGCTGTGATCTGTGCATCCAGCAGGCTTTTATCGAGCTGGCCAGCCATGGCGTAGGCCCCTGCCCTCTCCAGGCTCAGTGGGCAGTGGTGGCAGGTGGTCCTCTGTCCCCCTGAGCCCTAGCGCCCCAGAACTATGTGCCGCCTTGGGCTGGGTAAAGCCGGGTCCCCACCCTACTGAGCCCTCACCTGCCCTGCCCACAGCTGTCCTACATGGATGCGGAAGGCAACCCCGTGGGCGTGGTGCAGATGACCTTTCTGAGGCTGCTCAGCGCCTCCGCCCACCAGAACATCACCTACCACTGCTACCAGTCGGTAGCCTGGCAGGACGCCGCCACAGGCAGCTACGACAAGGCCATGCGCTTCCTGGGCTCCAACGATGAGGAGATGTCCTACGACAACAACCCCTACATCCGCGCCCTGGTGGACGGCTGCGCGGTGAGTGTGCCTGACGCTGCCTACTGGGGGTCTGTGCCTCACTTCCGGCTGCACGGGGCGCCTCCCCTGTGTTGTTCCCTCCTGGGGGCACTCACATCCTTCCACCAGGGTGAGCTTAAATGCACCCCACCTGGTCATAGAGGTTGGGCATGTCCTGTGGCGGTCCTCAGACATGTGCCCCTGGTGTGGCCTCTTAGCAGCTGAGTTGGGGTCACCAGGAAGCCGAGCTGAGCTCCCTGACATGGGACCCCATTCCCTTCCTTTTTCCCTGAGAGAATCCACCCGGACTTGTGCCCTCCCTGCGGCCCAGGCTCACAGCCCCACCTACTTCCCCCTGCCTCGTGCCCGACCCCTGGGGCTGCAGGCCTGTCCCTTGGGCAGCCCCTCGTGGCTGCTGCTGGTTCCTGGTGTCCATGTGGCCACAGGACTGTCACAGTATGAGCTGGCCCAGAGGCCTCCTGAGTCACACTGTTCCCTCCCCATCGAGGTCCTTTGAGCATTGGGAAGCAGAGCCAGGCACAGGGTGGGGACATCCAGACTGGATGCTTGACGGGACCAGGAGAGACCACTCCCTCCCATCTTTACTTCTGGGGAAAAAAGTTCCCCGAAACTTAGAGGAGGAGGGATAACAGCTCAGGACAGCAGCCCTGCTGGTGGAGAAGCTCGGTGGAAGGGACAGGCAGAGGGCACGCGAAGGTGGGGCCATGGGATGGCAGCAGCAGTGTGGCCTGGACTGCAGTGCCACCTGCCTCAAGCCCCAAATGCCCTGCCTCACTTGGAAAGGTCACGACCTTCCTGTTTCACTTGAGGCCCCTTTGGGGACTTGAAGGCCAGTGACATGAGGCCTGCTTGATTCATGTCACAAGAGCAGCTCAAGAAATTAGAGTTGCCAGGCTGGGGTCCTTCAGCCGGGTGGCCTGATGGACAGCGCTGCTGCATGGCCGGCCCTGCGGGGGCACAAATCACAGGAAAGAAGGCCAGGGCAGCTGCTCATAAATCCCGCTGTTTGCACAGCTTTGTGTGCGCCTGGGGGGCCGTTGAGGACTGATAATGGTTATTTATGCTTCTGGAATAAGAGGGTGATACAGCCACAGGCTGGGCCCGCTTCACGTTCGCCCCTCTCCTAGTGCTCTGGTAATTGGAGCGGAGGGGCCCTGTAAACCTGGTGGTGCCACCTGCTGGCTCAGCACGGGCTGCCCGGCCTGGATAGGGGAGAGGCTGCCACTGCTGCAGCCATGAGGCCTGCGGCTCCCCATCCCAGGGTAAGGGTCAGGGCACTGCACCCTGGCCAGGGCCACCCGGCTGGGGCCAGAGGAGGAGCAGAGAAGGAAGCGGTGATTAGATGGCATACGGTGTCTGGCTCTTCCTCTCTGTCCTGGCGGCCGTGGGGGGCCCTGTGCCCCAAAGGTAGCTGGAGGACCCTTGGCAGATGCTGTGCGCAGCTGCAGGCATGGCCAGTTGTCCTGCTTCCCTCTCCCTGGGCATGGAGTGCTATGGCCACGCACTGGGGTGGACCCAGCAGGCAGAGGGGCCTCTTAGAGTCTGCAGGGCCTGCCTGGGATGCTCAGCAGGCTTTGGGACTCTCAGCATCTGTGCTGTCAAAGTGCCGGGCCACCACACAGCAGGGTCCTCCCAAGGCCTTTCTCAAAGGCCACCAGCTGGCCAAGAAAGAGCAGCCTGGCCGGAGACCACAGCCTTCTAAGAGCACTGGTTCTGCACCCCACCCTCAAACTCAGCAGCCAAGTCCCCAGGGCGGGTGGGGGCCCCGCACTGTAACGGCCCCAAGGACCCCCGTCCTATGAGGGTCGCTTTGTGAGAGCACTGCTGGTTCCTGTAGCCTCTGCTCTGAGGGCCTCTGCTGTCACCCTTGGGTCAGGGTTCCAGTGTGTACTGAGGAGCAGGTTCAGCCCACTGGGTAGGGGCAGGCCCCAAGGTCTGTGACTCCTCCAGCCGGAGACTTGAATGGGCAGTCAGGACCGGCTGCACAGTCACGTGGGACCTTCTGCCAGCTACACCCCAGCCATGTTACCCATCGGAGGGAACCCTTGCAACTTGCCTCAAGGGCCTCTGCGGGGATGGGGTGCGAGACCTGTGCTGCTTGGTCCTGGCTCACAGTGTAAATCTGGTTTCAGTTCAAGGCAGTAAAAGCCACTGTCCAGGACTTGTGGGCCGTGGGTGTCCCAAGGGAGCGATGTGGACTTCCGGTACCCTTGTCTCAAGAAGTTGACCAGATGGCAGGGCTGGGTCAGACGTGTCGCTCTGTGTTCCAAAGACTTGGAGCTGGATTGAGGTGGCTTTGGGGACAGGAGCAATGGTGGGCCTCCCTCCCTGGGTCTGGGACCTGGATCCCAAGGGGGAGGAGCCTCTCCAGAAGTCAGCCTGTGCTCAGAGGGACTGCATCCAGTCTCCTGGGGCCATGCTGGCCTCCTTAAGGGATGAGTGCCAACTGCCGAGCAGGCCGCTCACTGGCTGTAGGCCTCAGCCTGCCCAGGACTCCTTGAAGGACCAGTGTGTAGGCACTCAGCCTCCCTGCACTGGGAAGGTAGCACCTCCCCTGCCCTGCCTAAGTCGCCAGGGCCATGGCAAAGACCTGCACTCAGTTCAGCGCTCTGCTGTGACACCTTGTAACTCTCCACCTGGAATGAGGGGCCCCTTGTTTTGATCTTGGTTTCATAGCTACCCCAGCACGGCTGTTATCTTAGGCACTTTCCTATCTCTGGGACATAATTCAGATGCCCCCAACTTTAGTGAGAGGTTCGTTTTGTCTCCTGTTTTAGAAGTTTCAGTCTCTGGCCAAGCGCCTGGACAGAGGAGAGCTACTGAGGCTTGGCAGACAGGAAAGAGGCAGGGAGGGCCTGAGAGGAGGTGAACCCCAGCTACTAGGCCATGCCCTCAGCGACCACCTCCTACCAGGCCCCGCCTCCTAACAGCCAGCCTAGGGCTCTGGTGATCCAATCACCTTTAGAAGGTGTGCATAGGGGCAAAGGCTCCTGGCTGTGGTCTAGATGTAAACCCTGACAGTTGCCCTGGGCCAGGGTATGGGGGCTCCATAGGAACCCCCTTGGAGGGGGGTGCTTCCAAGGCTGCTCCCATGCTCCTCTGGGACTGCGCTGGTGTCTTTGGATCCCCCTGAGAGTTCAAACACTGTCAGCCGGCGGTGATTCCTCCAATGCATGCCACGTGCATGAGGCCAAGATGCTGCTCATGTGGCTTGGAATGTGTGGGTGGGGCAGGAAGGGGAGGTGACCCCAAGCCCAATGCTGGGAATCCAAGCTGGTCATGGCAGTGACTGGCCCAGGATCTTAACCACATCCGCCTGTCTCCTTCTTCCCAGACCAAGAAAGGCTACCAGAAGACGGTGCTGGAGATAGACACCCCCAAAGTGGAGCAGGTCCCCATCGTGGACATCATGTTCAATGACTTCGGCGACGCATCACAGAAATTTGGATTTGAAGTGGGGCAGGCTTGCTTCATGGGCTAGGAGCCACCCGCAGCACTCTGGTTCCCCGAGCAACCTCGTGACCTCAGCATGCCCTTTGTGAGTGTCCGTACAAGTGTCCTCACCCCAGACAGCGAAGGTTTCTCATACCCCTCCCGCTCCACTTCATCTGCGCCCCACCCAGCACCGTGCGGTGCCAGACCAGAGCACCCCAAAAGCAGCCGGGGAGAGAGCCGCGACCCCACCGGAGCCGAATCACATGACCTAGCTGCTCACAGCCTCGGCCACGAACACGTTCCGTCTATACCACGCGCCCGCCCAGGGAGGGAGGCGGCACCGCCCTGGCCCCTCACTGGCCTGTTCCACGGATGGACCGCATCGCGGACAGTTGGCAGGGGGTGGGGCTGGGGCGGCAGGATTTGGATATCATTTTTTTTTAAATTCAACTTGAAGATGCATATTTCCTTTCCCCTGACCTTCAAAAAATGTGCCAAGGCCAGCCTCGTAAAGGTCGCCAACGCCTCTGTTTTTAAAAACCCTCAACACGATCCATGTAGAGGCCAAATGTCATTCCACATGTGCCTTTCCGATGGATTAAAGGTGCTTATGTTTTTGTGAGTTTTAAGTAAATATTTGTATTGTATTGTTATAAATGTTAAGTGTGCCTGACTCTCAATCGTGCGTGGAGACTCGGTATCAGGCCCGCCGGGAGACTGGGAAGGTGGGCTGCAGCGTCCTTCCTGGGTCCCATCTGGTTCTCTAGAAGTAGGAAGTCGCCCCGCCCTAGAGAATACGCAGTGAATTGCAAATTTGCCCAGGTCAGCGAGAAGCCTCCAAGCTGCCCAAGAAAAAGAAGGTGCCAGACCCTTTTCCAGGCCAGTTTTTCCTCTTATTATTATTAGATCTGGACTTTTTTTTCCTTATGGGGAAGGAAAACAATCTAACATCCTGCTTTTTCTTTCATGCACTGAGATTAAGGTGCAGGCTTCTGTTCATTCCGATTGCTTCCTTTTTCCATTTTCCTTCCTGCAGAGCCCGGGCAACGAACCGTGTTTTGTGTAGATGATAATTAAGTGAAACTTGGTGCTGATTTTTTACACTTCTCTTTTGTGGTGCTATGTCTGAAGATCTTGTAGAAGGCAGCGCTGGGGGCCCCTGGCCGTGCCTCCTCCTTCCGGCTTCCTTCGCCTGGGCATTGGCTCCTCGAGCTGAGTCTTTGCCAGGGACTGCATAGAGATGTCACCTCTCCACCCAGTGGGTGCCAGTGCTGCTGGGTGCTCTTTCTTGAAGGTGGGGCGTCTGCTCTGGAGACCGTTATCAGCCCTGGGTTGTGTGGACTTGACCTAAAAACACACAAGTGCAAAATAAAGACTTCCTGTTGTGTTTGTGATACTGACTTCTGTGTGTTCTAGAAGCTAATGAAGTTGTTTGGTGGCCCTGCATGGTCTTGGCCAGGGACTGCCTTGCACACAGATGGAGAAATATTCAGCGAACCCTGGGCAGCTCTGGGGCCAGGACAGTGCTTCTTTTCCACAGAGGCAATTGAGTTTCTACCCGAAGATGCTCGGGGCGCTGGCATCGGCCACTCAAGCTCAGGCTGGTACGGTTCCCACTGGGCCTTGCCCTCATCCTCGCTATTCTGGGTGAGGGACCACCATGTGGACAGCGGACCCCAGCAGTCCCTGTACTGTGAAATGTGCCCTCCTGCCATGCCCCTGCCTCCACCATGGGGACACAATGCTGGGGAGTGGGCTGACCCCCCACAGAACGCTGCAGCTCAGGAAACCACAGCACAGCACCCCGGGACTCACACCGCCTGAAGGCCGACTCACCACATCTCCCCCAAAATAAGTCGCTCTCTTGCCAAAGTAAAGCCTGGCCTGGAAACTCTCGCAGCCAGGACACCAGCATGCGCCAGGCTCCTCTCCACATGAGAAAAGCCATATGGGAGAACTGTCGTGCGATGCCTGTGGATTCTGTCTAGGTCATGTGATTCTGTTTCACCTCACCACATCAGATTTGTTCTTTTCTTCATCATTTTCTGTGGGTCCCCTCAAAGTGGTTGTAATTCATGATGATGTCCAAAATGTGTCCTGTTCCCCGCCCCCCCCCCGCCAGACCATTTTAGCTACGGTATATTGCAATAAAACCACCTCTTATATTTGCAGACTGTCTTGTGGTGTAATTTTATTTTTTTCTCCATATATAATTGGGAAAATGTGGGTGAAAAGAAAAAAATGGGAAACAGAAAACATGATAAAGATTCTAGACCACTGGGCCCATTGAAATTCAGTGCCAAAGGACATATGGTCTGTGTCCTGAACAGCTGTGGATGTGTCACACATTTGAAGTGTCACACCACGAAAGGGGTGTTTAATATTTTACATCTGTGTAACAGAGGCTCATTGTAATCGTTTTTCAATAAATTGAGTTCACTGTTTCCACCGTCAACAGATGTGACTGGCTGTCTTCTTCAGTGTGACCAGGCTCCTCCACCACATGAGACCCATGTGTGATCGAGCACTGTCCTGGGACCCCACGCACTCTGGCATCATGGCAGGGATGTGCCGCCTTAAGCTGCCGGAAGGGGTCTGTCTATAGCTGGCTGAGTGTCACCAGCTCTTAGGCCTTGACACATGCTGGACTCACTTCCCACCCTGGACAGTTGTGCCCTGGGGAGGTGTCCCCAGGTGACATCCTTCCTGCCTGCTGTATGGCAGGGTCAGTGTCTGGCAGCCAGTGAGGGTATAGGGGTATGGCTTGTCTCAGCCAATGAGCTTGTGCGTAGGTGACACAGGTCGCTTCCTGTCTAAGTGAATGACTCCCTCCTGGGTCTCTGGATGTGAGCTTTAAACTACTGAGACATTGTCACTGTTCCTGTTCCCTGGCCCACAGTCCTGAGTCTGTGGGCCACCTTCCACGATGGCTCTGCACAGAGGTGCTCGGAGGCCACGGCAGGGGTGGCTGGGAGGGACCAGCCAGCAAGTGTGGCTGCCATTCCACCCCTGAGCTCCTCCTCCTGGGGCTGAGAGGCACTGGCTCATCGTCTGTCCCCAGAGAGGCGCAGATGACAGTTGGCGAGTGAGCAGCAGGTTGTCCCTGTTGGCGAGGATGCCCCCTTTCCAGAGCCAAGCCCTTTACAACCCAGGACTGTCTGTGTGGGCAGCATTTCCAATGCAACCTCGTCTGGGTAGTGGGCTCATTCTACCAAGGTATGGGTGGGGTCTGGGAACATGCACTTCTGGGTGCCCATCCCCATGGGACCCACTCTGAGAAGCACTGTCCATTTTACCTGCAAGATGGATCCCAGTTATCAGTGGCTTAAACAGAATGCATTTCCCTCAATCGTGCTACAGGTCACTGTGGGTTGAGGGGAGCTCACCCTAGGACCTGCTGGCCATGCCACTGCTCCTGGACGTGGCTGGTGCCACACTGCTTGGTGCCATGCTGGTGGGGCCTCTCTCAGGCCCAGGCTCTGTTTTGTGCCTCAGCCAGGAAATCATTTTTCAGCTGTACCCTGAGAGTAAATACACAACAAAAGCCTCACACCCATCTTACACAAAAGCATCTGGCTTCCTCCTGTATTGACGCCGGTCTGGGAGAAGTGTGGTCCCCAAGCGTATGTTAAGAACTTACATGTTCAACAGTGCAAGGATCTCACAACCCTTTGGGATTTCCTCAGTTCTTTCTAAACTAGAAGCCACCAGGCTGAGAACTCCTTAAGGGTCAAGACCACTTAAAAGACTTCCCAAAATGGGGAGTCCCCTGCTTCAGTGTTGGCATTGTTTCTCTAGAATCTAGGGGCTCCAGACAACACATGCATATCATCTTCCAGCCTCCAGGGGCCAGGAATCCAGAAACATCTAGGCTGGTCCCTTGCTCAGGGCCCCTCTCAGTGCCACGGTCAAGGTGTGGCCAGGTTGTGGTCTCATCCGGAAGGTCCACTCAGGTAGTTCTGCTTCCGAGCTCTCCTGCACGGCACTCTCCATTTTTAGGTGTTTGGGTTCTGGGGACTCAGTACCACCCTCTGTCCCTTGTCCCATGGCCTCTCCAGCAGCCTGCGTCTCATCACAACCATGAAAAGGAATCAGCCAGTGGGGCTGAAGCATGGTCCTTGTGACCTCATCACGGAAGTGGCATCGTAGTGACTTCACTGTGTTCTGTGGGTTCAAATTACGATGTCCAGCCCAAATTCCAGGGCAAGGGCCACATAGTAGCCAGCAGGACAGAAGGGGAACAGCCAGCCAGCTGGCCACCTGGGTGTGAAAGGGTGTGCAGAGGATAGGTGTGACACTCACCCACCGAGGCCCCTGCATGTGGTCTGGAACCCCACCTGCACGGAGTGCGGGTGAAAAACCAGATGTCATTGCCTGGCCTCCTCACCCATCACAGACAGAGGAAGCCCCAGCTGGGGTCTGTGTGGGAAGCGCTTTGCCTCAGGGCCTCAGCAAATGCCACACAACGGCCCTGCATTCCCAGCAGTGTCACACTGGACCGCTCTTTGTGTGTCGGCCAGGAGGGTTCAGGATTCGGTGCCTCAAACCTCAGGTGCCACTCAGGGAGCCACCACAAAGTGCCCAGGGCACCTGGAGGGAAAGAAGAACATCTTGCTTGTGGTGCCCTCAGTGACGTCTCCGAGGATCAGTCACAGCCAAGAAGTCCCAGGGCACCAGCCTGGTTGCAGGTTCCAGCCCGGCTGCAGGTTCCAGCCCAGAGGAGTTCTAGTGGAGTGGGGTGCAGTGCTGGAGGGAGCAGGTTTCTGTGGGGGGGAGGTGATCTTCAGTGGGAGGTGGAATCCTGCAATGTGCAAGTGGTGCCCTTTGTATTCCTTTCCAGCATAGCTGTGTGATGTCTGCCTGCCTGTCTGTCTGTCTGCCAAGGGTTCATTTGGAATGCTCCTCTGTGGGGGCCCTTTGTCTCTCGAGGTTGGAACACATGCTGACTGTGGAGTGCAGAGAGGAAGGCGCAGGGAGGAGCTCACCCATGGCTGGGGAGCAGGAGCCTGTTTTCCGGCTGCTCAGGTGGGGCCCTGGGCTGCGCGCCATCAGGACCCCCACCCATGGCAAATGCCTGCCGGTTCCCGCTATGCAGGTAGAAGCCAGCATGCACCTAGAACAGGGCCCCTGGGTGTTCACCAGGCATTTCTGGAGTTGCCCTGCCTGTGAGGCGTCAGCAGGCCTTGGTGAGGCGCACAGGCTCTTGCGGCTGGGCCTTGGAGCTGCCCTGTCCTCCTGTGTGTGCCCCTCGGCTCAGCGTGAGCAAAGCTCTTTCCCACAGGATCTGTCCACAGCTGGCTGGTAATTCTGGCAAGCCACCAGGCCAGGGCACAGCAGGACCTGTTCCAGATCCCACGTGCCCCACTTCGGCTCTGTGCAGGCAGAGCACAACTCCCACCGCCTACACCCCCTGCCAGGTGGCCACAGGAGCCCGAGGCTGTGACTCAGCTCCTGGCACACCTGACCTCCTCTGTGACGGCATGGAAATTGCCGAGAGCGGGGCTTGGCACAGCTCTAAGGCTGCTCCAGGGGGCGTGGGCTGTGATCAGCCTCTCCTGTGTGATCCCGGGAGGCATGGGCCAAGCAGCAACCTAAACCAGAGTCCGGCTCAGCCGTCCTAGCTCATGGAAGGTGTGGCTCAGAGCTGCAAGGGGCCTCACGGACTTGAGGAGGACTGTGTTCCCTCACTTCCGGGGAAACTGCAGAGTTGCTGGCACAGGGCCAGGAAGGGTCTGTTCAGAGCCATCCTCTCGTAGGGCTGTTAAGCAGATCCCAGGACACCTCTCCCAGTCCCAGCCAGCCCCCTTGTGCCCCAGTAGGTCTGGTTGGCCTCCTGAATCTGTCTCTCCTCAAGTTTCTGCTTGGAGTTGCTGCTTGGGAGAAACTGGATTTGATGGGCTTCCAGATTTTTTCTCTATAACCCAGCCTGGTCATACTCAAAGTATAATACCTTTAAAATTTTATTAGTACAGTGGTACTTCAGTTCCTGAATTTAATTCTTCCCATGATTCTGGTCGCAAGCCGAATTGCACAAGAACCAAATCGAATCAAATTCACTGGTTAGGAACAATGTTGGGCTTCTGGGGAAATTTGATCCAGTTCTTGTCCAACTGGGTTTGTGACCAGAATTGTAGACAGAATTAAGTTTGTGAACTGAGACACGAACAGTGTATATTCGCAGCACTTGATGTTCACGTTCATATCAGGGGCTGGGTACTTACACACAACACGCCTTTTTTATTCTCCTTCACCTCCCCTCCATTTGTAAACAAACTATCCACTATTTCCTATCATCTGTCTTTTATTTTGGTTTTTTGAAATTATTTATACTTCGTGTTTCTCATATAAAAGAAGTTATGTACTATCTAAGCACAATACCTCTTAACCACTGGATTTTACAAAAGACATACCACCTAGCTCCCATGGTAACAACCCTCAGTAAAGATATTTGCTCCTCCAATGAGCTTGGTGTCTTAGTTACTTTCCTCTTACTGCTGAAACAAAATACCCAATACCCAGAGTTAAAGCGGGAAAGGTTTATTTAGCTCACAGTTTGTAGAGGTTTCAGTCCATAATCAGCTGGCTCCAAGGCAGAGTGGCTTGGCAGAGGGGCATTGCAGTGGAGAGCCAGTTCACCACAAGCAGAAGATAGCAAAAACAAGCAGAGAAGGGGGAAAGCCAGCCTCTTCCTGTCCTTTATATTCAATCCAGGCTATCAGGGTTAGGGCAGTGCCAAACCAATCCGTGGACTGATGTAATCATCCACCCTTAATCCTAGCACAATTACATACTCTAGATTCAGCCACCTCTGTAAAAGCCCCCTCTATGACCACGTGAGGCTTTGGGGGATGTCTACACACAAGCCACAGCTCTCAGAATTTAATTAACATGAAAAGCTCTTGAATCAAGATGAGTTTTGTTCTTAGTAGCACAGCAAGGTTCTGAACCCATGGTAGGAGCAGTTGTGGCATCACTGTACCCAGCGGAGCCCACTAGGCAGGGAGAAGCCAACGCATACAAGAGAGAGCATGTGGTGTGCCCCAAACCTGCTTCCAAAGCCTTTAGCATACCTGCTTGGTTCCTCATCAGTTCCATGGGGTGAGACCCCAGTAACCCCATAGTGAGAGCAGCTGGACACTGACATGGCTGGGTATACACACTGGCAGATTCCATGTGACTGAGGAGCAGTCTGAGTTCAAGCTCCCCACTCTGTGTGGATTTGCCAAACACCTTAAGCTTTGCATAGAAATCCAGGGACCTAACCCTTAAAGAAAATGAACTTGTCCCAAGACTGAAGCTTAGACCTTAGGGTGAAGGGCACATGGAGCCATCTAACAAAGTCTACGCTCAGGATCAGTTTCCCACAGGATCAAAGGTGACTTGGGAGCCGCTCTCCCACTGCCAGCCCAAAGTGTAGCTCTCAGTGAGGGAGAGCCGTGCACATGGACTGCTTGA